TACCATAAGTGATTCTTCGCAAATCAAGTGCCGCAAGGGATAGCGTGATCAGCATTCTTTGTGCAAACTACGAATCAAGCGATATGCGGCTGCCTCAAGGTATTGATGGCAAGCGGTATTACGAAAGGCCAACAAAGGCTATCAGGCAAATTACCAAAGATACGCATCACATGAGATCTATCTTTGTAAACAAGCTCATATGCCAGCTTTGATGTACCATTTGATCTTCTTGCACTGCTTCACACAATAGCTTCCGTATGCATGAAGATCTAGCCAAATTAACAGGCGGACGTCTACACAATTTGAGTGATAACGAAAAGGGGTAGACAAGCTCAAGCAAGAATCAAGCTCTCGTATCTGTCATTAGAGTTGCTGAATCTTGAGTCTAATTGGGCGAGCTTGAACATGATGTGCTTGTCCGCTAATCTTGTCCGCTTTGCCGTTGTGCGCACGCAAAGCGCTCGAGACATTGGCAATGACCGCACGCCACGAGATGGATGGACAACTTGAGCTTGACATGACTGTGATGCTATAGGCTTTGAAATGGAAACCGATAAGAGATGGAAGAGTTTGAGAGCTTCGAAGCAAATTCAACAAACACACGCACAGCAAAAAGATAGAGCAGCATTCACGCACTTGCACTTGCACTCGCAATCGCCAAAGAGGACCGCATCACATCGCATCACATTCGCATCGCATCGCATCGCTTGATTTGGATCGCACCGCATCTCAATAATCTCATCTCAATGCCAAGGCTCAATCGCTCAATGCGTCAAACCTTGAGGAACGTCGTTTTGAGCAGAAACCGTGGCCTGACACGCGCCACATCATACACGACCAATTCGTTCCATGTAAATGCACTGCACTCCATTTCTCCAAACTCAGCAGCCATGATACTCTTTCCCATGGGTACCAGGACACCATCTTCCATGGTGACATGATCAGCTTCATCATGCTGCGTGACACCGACTCCCCATGTGGATGATTTCCCAGCCTCAAGTGACGATGCCGTGTAGTCATCATACAAACGACGTTGAGACTCGCCCAAGGCCACTTCACACAACAACATGCATTGATCTGAGGGATAGGAGGATGCATAGCAGTATTGTTGAGCTTTTTGTAATGTATTGGTGAAGTAGATGCCCTTGCCGAGACGAAATCCAGAGGAAGGTGCTTCTTTTGGTGCAATACGTAAGCCTTTTGATAAGATACCCGTGAAATTGCCAATACGCGAACAATGCCACAAGAGCTGACGATTGGGTTCGCGTGAGAATGGCATGAATCGTGCATCCAATTCTGATTGTAGTGAAAAAATAGCATCCACTTGAATCTTGTGAGAGGTACCCCAATCTGGTAGGACGCCGTTGTGCGTGAAATCAACATACTGTTGAATCATCTTGTACCGAATATCCGTTGCTGGGAGTGGATCAATCTTGCACTTGAGTTTCTCATAGTTGGCATCCAACCTATGCACCGGTAACGTCGTGGCTTCATCCATCTTCTCCTCCAATAAATCCGTACCAACGCGTAAATCTTCAAGTGATTGCAGCAACGACAACTTCTTCTTCACACACGCAGCCGTACGAATCACAGCCGGTCGAGCGGTCCCTTTTGCGCGATGTGGAATCTGACTGTAAAAACGACTCGACAAATTGAGCAAGTCCGTTTCGTTTGGTTTTGCCTTGATGATTTCATCGCTGATTTCAGCAAGGACCAAGAAACCTTTACGGATTTGTTGTTTTGTGAGACGACCGAGTGGGAGTTCTTGGATATTCACACCTTGTTCACGCATCTCCTCCTCCATTCGACCGACATCAAACAATAACGTCAAGAGCGATTGTACTGCAGGGTTGAGTTTTGATTGAGCAGCAGCAAGAGCGCCTCGTTTCTTTTCAGGGCTATTCGGTGCAGATGCTGCAGATTTGCGTTGGTATTCTCGAGAGATGAAGACGTATCGATTTGCAGCTTGGAAGTGAAGGGGAACATGACGATCTGCCCATGCAATGCGTGTTTTTTCCTTGAATTTTCGACGGAAAAAGTCTTTCGCTTCTTCTACTGAGTAGCAGGTGTGTAGCTGTGATTGACCTCTGATGCCACTAGTTGTTAGTTGTTGTTTTTGGAGGAAAAGGCTTACACTCTGCCCCAGCGACTAAAGACGGCAAAGCCACCTTGTGTGTTGGATGCACGCTTGATGATCTGGATGGCGTAGTACTTGTTCTTGTTGGAAGCAATACTAGGTTGTCAGCAAGCAGAAATCAAGAGCAAAAGACATACTCGGTCTGGTTGAGCATGGCATCCCAGATACCACCTTCATCAATCAATACCTGATCCTGCGCGGAACCAAGGTACAACTCGTCGAGTGGGACAATACAATCATCCAGCGGTCCATCCACATCATCTGCCGTCAAATCGACTAGACCAAGGGACTGCGTTGATGGTACGCCTGTATCGTGTAGGACGTTATCGGTCTTGCGTTTCTTTCGCGATGGTGCAGTGGTGGGTTGTGGCGAGGCAGGTCCTTTTGTGAAGAAGGATAGGAGGGGTGAGAGACTAACTGATGCACGACGTTTCTTGGCGGTTGTTTTGAGGGTTGCTGGTGTGAAGGGTGGTGCTGTTGGACGAAGCGACGAGACATTCGAGTGTGGAGTCGTTGTTGAGCTTGCGGCAGCAGCAGCAGTCGCCGTACTACTCGATCCAGCTTGCACATGGCTTGATGGTGCCAGTGACAATTTTGTAGACTTGACAGACTTGGTGGGTGGAAGGAGTGTATCTTGCGACGATCGCCTGGTTGTACGTCGTGGTTTGAGTCGTTCTTCAAGCCATGCTAGATCTACCCATGTTCCACCGTCTGCTTGAAATGCTTCGGCTTCTTGTAGTCGAGATCCTGGTGCGTCACAGAGTAAGTGTGTTGCGAGGTCCAAGTCCTTCTCGATGAGACCGCCATGTGAGATGATGCGCTGTGTTAGAGCAGCATGGGTTGTGCCTGTGAATCTGCCCCAGAGGACAAAGACGAGGTCATCCAAGGCAGACATGGTGGCGCGCTTTGATGCGCGGTCTTCCAGAGGCCTGTATACCTAGGGATTTGTGTAGGGGTTTATGTTGGATGACACGTTATCTTGTAGACGGGATCTCCGTGTGTGCTGTCTGGGAAGTGAAGGTAGGCTTGATGGGGATGCGCTGGTTGTGCGCTTTGATGGATTGTTCAGCGCAGTCCTTCTCTGCCAGGGTCTGCGTTGACGGGGGGCCAGGAGGGCAGGGAGTCGCAGTGAGTGAGGAGTGAGTGAGTGAGTGAGTGGTTGCACTTGTTGCGCTGTGTCAGTGGGGGGCCTGACTACTGACTTTTGAGGGAAAGACAAGGAGAGCAGGAGAGATGAAGAGAAGGAGAGGCAGAGGCAGAGAGAGATGAGTAGAGCAGAGAGCGTATCAGGTGTAGCTGGCAGCATGTTTGTGACTGTGCTGTTTCGCAGTAGACCAGTAGTCACAAGACATCTCTCTTTCTAGTGATAGCCTGTGATAGGCCATGGAGGCAGCTGCAGTCTGGAGGATGCGAGTGTCTGGCACCCATCAGCCATGAGCACCCAGCAGCAGGAAGAGCAAGGGCATCTGCGTGTTGTGTGTGTCTTGTTTATTCTTTTCTTTTTATTTTCTTTCGCGTCGTTCCACGTAGAAGCAGAACAGCAGAAGCAGACCTGTATTTCTATACTGTACTGATGACTACAGACACAGACAGCAGACATGGACACGCAGGACATGCACATCTACTTCTGTATCCTCCCATCGTATCGTAGCGCAACTGACCCCATCCATAGCAAACACACACAGCCAACAACGCTCCCCCTCACCTGCACTCTCACAAGCCATCCCAGCACGCATCAACCAGTCCCCCAGTGACATACCCGAAGCCACAAAGAACGCAGGCATCTCACGCACAACCTACTTCCGTGTCTTGCGCAACCTCAGAAACCATACAGGTGCAAGGGACAGGCCCATCCTGCCCAATGGACGACCCCTCAAGCTCAATGCAGACGCAGATGTCGTATGCTTGCTACTACAACACGCACAAGTACTGATTTCTAGGTGATCCGAGAGACCATGACACACAGTCCATGGACAAGTCTCAAGGAGCTCCGTCATATCCTCAGAGAACGCTGCAATGTAGACGTCTCCGTCTCGTCCATCTCTAGACGCCTCAAGAGACTCGGTCTCCAAACAGGTGCCGCTGCTCAGTCTGCCAGTTTCCAGCAGCCAGATGCATCCTTGACCACTGCTGAGCATGCAAGGCATACGCACTGAACTGCTATGGCGTCGTCACAACCACCGTCTCCTGCTCTACCACAGACGCTTGCCGTGATCGCTGCCACTCAATGCGCGACTGCAGGGCACCCAACCACTCATCCAACGCTTGCTCACTCACTGCACCAAAGATCCGACTCTCCTCCCGTAAGATGAGTTGCAGCACAAACAACCCGCCGCACTCCCCCTCACTCTCATGACTCCCACTCGTCACTGTTTGTCGCAAGGCTTCATGTTCAGGTAACTCCAAATCCATCCAATCCAACATCTCCACCAACGGTATAATATCCACCACTTCATACTCACCAGCATCCGCATACAGGAATAACCCAGAGTGACTACGCAGCACACACCAGTACCGTCGACCACGCATACGACGCGCTTGATGATGTCGTGCGGCAGACGCTGAACGCGATCGATGAGCACTATGCATAGGGTGCTTCACGTATTGTGCCAAATGACTCAACGTACTCCTGCTAGACCGATCAACCGTACTTGCTGCATGATGATGATTGTAGTGCTGTAGATGTGTTAGATAGCCTTGCATAATCACCTTTTCTGCTTCCGCCATGGGTATCGCTTCATCTTCCGTCTCTGAGAGGCAGTATAAACCAGCATCTGTCGCCTTCGTTGGTGATGGCAGTTGAGTCGTGTTATGCGCCGCTAATGCACGCTTCAACGCAACCGCCCAACCCTCCGCTTCCTCCTCCGACTCCGCCAACAATTCCAACCGTCGAGACCGTATATACAGCGTCAACAACGGTCGTCCACGTTTCGATTTCGTCGGTGACACACTCATCCCTGCACCACACACAGCGACACCAGAGATGTTATCCAATGACATGACTTTTCGTGTTTCATACTCATCACTGTTTTTATAGTAGGCAAGTCCATACGGGCGTAATACAAACCATCGTTTTTGCCAGGTCCGTGTATGTGCCGCACGTTTACTCAGTGCGCCTGATTTCAAGACCTGTTCGTCGCGTGTCGGTGGCGTGTCTGTGAGAGCGGTTTGGTTGTGTGGTACGAGTGGACTTGTACCGGGTGGACCGGCCAGTTGTGCCATATGTTGGATACAGTATCGTCAGTATGTTCTTGTAGCGTCGTCTTGCGCTGATGTCAGAGTTGAGATTTCAACAACAGATACCGTAGTACTCTACCAAAGCTACTACAAATCTGCTCTATGCACCGCTAGTCTCTAGACATCTCAGGCACCAACATGCCCGTCATACCAGCTCAAAAGCTCATTACTCTACAAAAGAATCCCGCCAATATCCGCAACTTTTGTCTGCTTGCGCATGTCGATCATGGCAAGACGACACTAGCTGATAACCTCCTCGCATCCAATGGCATCATCAGTAGTAAACTCGCCGGTACAGTGCGGTATCTCGATAGTAGGGAGGATGAAATGGAACGTGGCATTACCATGAAATCCTCCGCCATCTCACTCTTCTTCCAACTCGTCAATAAGAATACAACAAACACACCGGAAGAGTATCTCATCAACCTCATTGATTCACCAGGTCATGTTGATTTCTCCTCTGAAGTCTCAACAGCCTCTCGCTTATGTGATGGTGCACTCGTCCTCGTCGATGCAGTCGAAGGTGTCTGCTCACAAACCATCGCCGTACTCCGCCAAGCCTGGGATGAACGGATAAAAACGGTCCTCGTCATTAATAAAGTCGATCGACTCATCACTGAACTCAAGCTTACCGCTCGAGAAGCACATACACATCTTGTACGGCTGGTTGAACAAATCAATGCCGTGATGGGTTCCTTCTTTGCCGGTGAACGCATGGTGGATGATTTACGATGGCGTGAAAAATTGGAAGAACGTCTTGAACAATCCATCGAGTCATTAGCCTCTGATACGAGTGTGGAGGATGCGTTTGATGAGAAGGATGACGCGGATATCTACTTTGCACCGGAAAAGGGAAATGTCATTATCGCCTCTGCCGTGGATGGCTGGGCCTTTCGAGTAGATCAATTCGCTGCCTTGTATGAGCAGAAACTCGGCATCAAACGTGCCTTGCTCAATAAAGTACTCTGGGGAGACTTTTACCTAGATCCAAAGACAAAAAAGGTCTTGTCGCAAAAACAACTCAAAGGACGAAACCTCAAACCCATGTTTGTGCAATTCGTGCTTGACAACATCTGGGCCGTATATGATGCTTGCCTGCTCAATCGGAATCAAGAAAAGATTGAAAAAATCATCCACGCACTCGGCTTAAAAGTTCTACCAAGAGACATCAAGAGTAAAGATTACGCAGGTCTCGTCAAGACAATGATGCATGGTTGGCTACCACTTTCATCAGCTATTTTACTCTCTGTTGTGGCATACCTGCCATCACCCCTTGCAGGCCAACACGCTAGACTGCCTCAACTATTTGATGCACAGAGCCATAAACAGGTCTCTCAGCAAATCAAACAGAGCATGCTGGCGTGTGATTGCGCAGAGTCACAACCAACCGTCTGCTATGTCAGTAAAATGGTCGCTGTACCACGCACTGATTTACCGCAAAATCAACGACGTCAATTGACAGCGGATGAGATGCGTGAAGCGGCACGGGTACGGCGTGAAGGCGGTGACACGAGTGGTACATCCACACCGGCACAACAGGAAGAGCAAGTCACGGAAGAGACACCGCCGGAATCAGATGATGTGTTGATTGGATTTAGCCGTATCTACTCGGGTACTATCAAGACTGGCGACACGCTATACGTCTATGGACCCAAGTACGATCCTAGCAAACCAGAGAAACATATGGCAAAGGTCGTGATTGAGCAGCTCTACCTCATCATGGGTCGTGAACTCATCAAATTGGACGCAGTCCCAGCCGGTAATGTTTTCGGTATCGCAGGCTTAGAAGGCAAAGTTCTGAAGAATGGTACCCTCTGCAGCGTCAATCCAGGCATCAATCTCGCTGGTGTCAGCATGTCGAGTGCTCCCATCGTCAGAATTGCCCTGGAACCGGAGAATCCTACAGACTTGCCAAAGTTGATGGAAGGTCTACGGCTACTCAACCAAGCTGATCCATGCGTTGAAGTACACTTACAAGAAACTGGTGAGCATGTCATCTTGACTGCCGGTGAATTACATCTTGAGCGATGCTTGAGAGATCTTCGGGAGCGATTTGCTAAATGTGGCGTACAGGCTTCTGCGCCCATTGTACCGTTCCGTGAGACTGCCGTGGATCGAGATTTGAGGCAACTTGGTAAGGACAAGCGCCGTGGAACAGTCACAACGCTTGTGGCAGATGTCATTCAAATGACATTGCGCACTAGACCGTTGCCGGAGAATGTCACCCAGTTCTTGCTAGACAAAACGGCTGCCATCAAACAACTACAGCTCAGTCAAGCAGGAATCTTGAATGCTGAACAAGCTGCAGAGCTCGAAGACGATGATGTGGAGGTCGACACTGCATACACTGCAACAGAGTTCCACGACGCACTGCAACAAGCATTTGATGAAGCGGAAGATGATGGAGACTGGACGGGTGTGGTGGACCAGATTTGTGCGTTTGGACCTCGACGGATTGGTCCAAATCTATTGCTTGACGCATCAGGGACGCTGAAACGCATCTTTACTGATTTATCTGAATCTAAACTTTCACAAAATCCCGAAGACAAAGAATCCTTCACTACCAGAGACTTTGAGGATTACCTCGTCACTGGATTCCAGCTTGCCATGAATCATGGACCGTTGTGTGCCGAGCCTGTACAAGGCATGCTTGTCTGTGTGGAACACTTTGCAATCAATGTGGCTGAGGGAGAAGAAGATGCATTCCGCTCGCGACTTTCACAGCTCTATGGCCAACTCATCTCTTCTGTGCGCGATACCATCAAACGAGGCTTCTTGGAATGGTCACCAAGACTCATGCTAGCCATGTACTCCTGTGATGTACAAGCCTCGATGGATGTACTAGGCAAAGTCTACGGCGTCATTAGCAAACGGCGCGGCAAGATTCGAGCAGAAGAAATGAAGGAAGGCACACCCTTCTTCACCATTCGAGCAACGTTACCTGTTGTTGAATCTTTTGGCTTCTCTGACTATATCCGCAAGCAAACATCTGGTGCAGCCTCACCACAGCTCATCTTTATTGGCTATGAGATTCTGGACGAGGATCCATTCTGGGTGCCTACAACAGAGGATGAGATTGAAGAGTTTGGTGCAAAGGGTGATCGTGAAGTTGTCGCCAAGCGGTATATGGATTCAGTCCGCAGACGCAAGGGCCTGTTTAAGGAGACTAAAATTACAAAAGGAGCAGAGAAGCAGAGGACGTTGAAGCGGTAGGTTGGCCACTCCTGACTCAAGCTTCCATCTGATTGCTCCATAAGCATCAAGGCTTGTACTGAACCATGTGTTGTTCCTCCCTACTAATTTGACAATCGTTACAGCAGCTGCAGTCAGTGCTGTAGGCTTGAAGCTCGAATCTAGATGTTGGTGATTCTGTGGTGAGGCTAGACCCTGACGAGCCAGTGACGCTCCTGCGGGAAGTCACTTCGTATTCCTTACCGGAAATTAGAAGGAGAAGTCACCTCGACCCACGCGTTACCGGAAATGAGAAGGAGACAAACATCAGGGGCTCTCGCAACTTAAAAGGCTGCTGTGTTCTGTTCGCCTTCCTCTTGCCATCATCTCCAGGACCACTTTTCCGATACATCAACGTCAGTGTAAAGATCCTACTATGCGATTCGTGAGCCGAATGCTAATCTCAGTCCGTTACCATATGGTCTACCAACGTCTGCTCATGTGCATGATTGCTTCCTGGCTGGGCAGTTTGGCAGCAGCAACGCCTCGCAGTGAGGAACTTAAGGATTATTGTTGGAAGTGGCCTGATCTAACCGAGAAAGTGGCCGGTTGTAACAAGGGAACCGAAATGTGTCGCTTTGATTTGAAAGACCAATGCGATTTCGATCAAATGGCATGCTACGCACCGAAAATCGGAACAAGTGATTGCAACTGTGTTTGTAAGCCCCAGGGACACTTCGAGAGGAGCGCGTAAGTTCGCCTTTTGCCGCTATAGCAAGCTGTTGCTGAAACAAATACAGCCTTCCTTCGAATCACCAGCATAGATAGTTTCTATATACATTGAGATCCGTGTCTTAATCTTTGATTTCACACGCAGTTTGGATCATTGATCTCATACCTCAACACTGATCGATTTCGATCTCAATGTGTATGGTTTAATGAGGATTTACAATTGCAGGCGATGCGCTGCACAAGCGACAGGTGTGCGAAGCAGGTAACGCTTGAAAGACTTCAAAGAATGCACTCGATTGACTGAAATACTTGGTGTTCAGACTTTGCGAACTCTGAACGTCCTTGCACTCGAATACTCCTGAAACTTTGACCAATTGCCAATTGGTGACTCCTCCATCTGAAATCATTTCAAAAACAAAAACAAATCAAACGAAACTCGACGCGACGAGAGCTGAGAGAGTCGAGCAAGGAAGAGGCATGCTGGGTCTTGAGGACGGCAGCAAGCTCGTGGCTCCTCGACAGAGACAGTCGCGCAAGTCTCCACCAGCAGCCATCGACACCACTGCACACCTTGAGTCGCGTCGAAGGAGATCGCACAGCACACCACTCGCGCATATGTCTGCCGATACTGCGCATGGTCCAGCTGCTCAACTACCGCGTCATGATCCCGACACGCGTCGCGCAGTCTATGTTGGCAACTTACCCATGACAATGGACGAAGACGCGCTGCGCGAGATCTTTGCGGTGGCGGGAGGAATACAATCTGTCAAGCTCGTGGAGAAGGCAACGCTCAATTGTACGCTCAAGTACGCTTTTGTTGAGTATGATGATCCTGCGTCGGCGCAAGTCGCAATAGAGACGCTGAATGGTAAGCTTGCACGCTTGGTTGCCCATGACTGACGCTAGGTCGCACAATACGCGGTTGTGTTCTCAGAGTCAACGTCGCATATCAGTCCACCACGATTGCGAATGCTAGGGAAGAGACAGCAACACACTTCACCCTCTTTGTGGGTGATTTGGCGGCAGATGTGCGAGACGCAGAGCTAGCAGAGGCATTCAGTGCCTACAGGAGCGTCTCTGACACGCGCGTCATGTGGTATGCTTGTTCAGCCAATGCGCAAAGCTAATAACAGGGACATGAAGACCCGACACTCACGCGGGTATGGATTTGTCTCCTTTCGCGACCGTAGTGAGGCAGAACGGGCGATGCACGATAAGACTGGCACCTATATCAGTTCACGAGCCATTCGCATCAATTGGGCAAACATGAAGCAAGCAACGTCAGCAGATTCCTTCTTAACGCAGAGTGCACCTGGCAGTCATATCCTCTTCAACATTGCACCTGCCAATCTACAAGCAATGGGGGTTGCAGAGCAGTATGCGATTGTCGTCTTGCAGACTTCCCTTGCCTGCAGTACAATCTACATGGGTAATCTCGCAGCAGATACAAACAAGCAGGATTTGACGCCTATGCTTTCTGCATTTGGACTTGTCCTGGAGCTCATGATGTATCCTGAGCGTGGCTTTGCTTTTGCTCGTCTGGATACGCACGAGCATGCTGCACTTGCGATTGTACAGCTTCAAGGTCTGGTTATCAAGGGCAGACCACTCAAGTGCTCGTGGCAAACGAAAGGTGAGCGTGGTCGGCAGGCAAAGCGTTTGGATGTTGAACACCCAATACAGTCTTCATCGTCGACACAATCTATGCCAACATCACCACAACCCTTCTCGCCCTTGCAAAACAACTACATCGCCAATATGGGCCTTGGCATCATGGATAACCCTTCACTCCAATACCCAGTGGCCAATGCGTATGCAAACCCACGTTCTGTTGCAACGCAGTCGTTTTACCCAACATCGCCACTCTCGCCGATGATGTTTGGTCTCAACTCACCACAATTCCAAAGCATGCAGCCTTTTGAGATGCAAATGAGGCAACATATGCAACAACAGCAGCACCATATACAATATCAAATGGCGGCACAGTACTATCAATCGCAAGGGATGCAGTCACCTGCAATGTATCAGGATGGGACGATGCAGAGTATACAGGATCAAATGGGGCATTCAGAATAGGCATTGAGCATATGGACATGATGAATCAGAAAGACAAAGTCTACACTAGACTCTTTGTGAGCGGAACGCACGCTTGAAGTGAGCGAAAAACGGCGATCGCTTCTCAATCGCTCGTTTCGCCACGACGGTTGTCGATGATGCGCTGTTGACATTTCCTGGAAATGGCAGCCCAAATGCTTCGACTTGTTGCTTGAGACTGAGTGCCGGTCCTGTTGCAGCTGCAATAGTCTGTGTCGTTGAGGTAGTGACGACCAATTTGAGCGGTGTCGCTGCGGAGAAGGTACTCGTTGCACTACCAGACAAGAGCGAAGCACGATCGGATACATCATTGCCGATACTGCTTGCGCGGGAAGTAACATTGAGTGGTTGGAACGCATCCGAAGCGTCATTCGCGCCATCGGTAACAACAAAGCTCGTGCTACTCGCATCTGTTGTATTCTCAGACAATCTCGCCAATTCCAGCGCCGGCCAGACTTGAAAGCAACCGCCGGCATTGTCAACGGCAGAAACACCATCAGAGTCCAAGCAAGAATCTGAAGTCGCAATGAGACTGGCTGCTTCGACATTGTTGACAATTGCATCTGCAGTCGGTGTTGCAATAGCTTCGGCTACTGTGCTGGGAATCACCAATTCTGTTGGCAAAGCAAGGTCATTCAGCGTTGCAGTCGTCTCGCTTGTTCCAACAATGAATGCACCAGCCGTGTCGTTTGCCAGTGCTATAGCTGTTGCCATGGCCGCTGCACCTTGACTCGCTGCAATCTTGACAAATGCATTCATCGTTTGATTCCTGGCAGCATTCAGCTCAAACACCATTCCCTGCATGCAATGCATACTCTGCTTACAGTAAAAAAACTGCGGGTCCGTTGAAGTGATGTCGTATTGAATGACAGGAGCACCGTCAGTGTTGTCGGTAGACAAGTCATTCGTGCTTGGGAAAAACCCAGAATCAGCACCAACACCATTGAACGTGCATGGATTCTGAAATGACGATTGCGTGACGGTATGATTTCTAGCGCCAAAGATAAACGTCACTGTATCACCGATTTGTGCACCTTGTATTTGATTTGGTGAGAAGTTGAGACCATTGCTGCCGCCGACGAGGACGTTGAAGTTGCGGTTGTTGGTACTGGCACCTGTTTCTGCTGCATTGACATTGGTGTTGATAGCGTTGGAGTTGACGATCGGCGCGCCGACCACAGGTGCAGCGGTGTTGGGTGCCGTGTTGATGACAGCCACCACAAGACCACCCGGTGTTGTTCCAGATGCAGCAACGGTACCTTGACCAGAAATAAAGGCAGATCCGGCATCATTGCTCACTGCTGCACCACGACCTTTCGATTCGGCAAATGCATTGGCACCATTGACGGCGGTATTGCCGTCTGACGAAGCAGCAGAAGCTTTACCATTCTGGACGGTATTGACGGATAAGTCTGGTTGAGGTGCCGCGAGAACTTGTGCGGAGGGTGGAGAGACTGGTGCTGGTGCAGCAACAAGAGATTGGCCTGCAACGAGATTTTGTTCGGTAGAGAGTTGTTGACCTGCAGCGGCTTGGTTCTGCTTAATCTGGGCAGTTTTCTTCTGCTGGCCTGGTGGGACTTTTGCTTGACGTTTGGTCTTTGTAGTGAGGATGGCGGCAATGGCATCTCCTGGGACAGTTGACTGTGCCTTCCACCAAACTGGACTTGCTCCGACATTGGTTACTATGATTAGCGCACATTCAAGTCGAAAGAAGCTTACATATTTCCAATTGTTGGTTGGCAGATGTTTTGACAGACATGGCATTCGCAGTGGGTGGTGCTCCTGCCTGCTGCAAGACTTGCATCATTTCAGTGATTTGCGCAGGCGACAAGACAATACTGGCGGGAACCTGACGTGTGGCGATGCCACGTTTCTCCATTCCAATAGCAGCAGCGTGAACGATACTCGCTAGATATAGAGGCAGCAGCATGTAAGTGTAAATGAAAGATCTCGAGCGAAGGGATGTGCACGTCGATCTCTTTAAGCAGAGCATGACATCTCGTGGTGCGCTTTGTATGGGTCCGCGCGCAGCGATCAATGTGCAACCGTTTCGTACCGCTGCGCTACGGTCATGGAGTCCCATATATTGCTCGTTTACTCGTCCTTTTTGACAGCAGACGGCGTCGTGCTCGTTTCAGACTCACTCCCTGGTACGTCTGTGCTTGGTATCATCTTGCCTTGAGCTTTGGCAATTTCAAGTTCTTGAAGGAACCAAGCAAGACTCAAGACAAGGCCAAAGCTGAGTACGAGGAGCGCCAAGACATGGATGTTTCGAGTGAAGAAGAGGAGCACAGAGAGCGTAGTGATGAGCATGATGAAGGCGCCGTAGGTTGCTTTGAGCAGTGTGGGTGTGACGCCTGGAGTGAAGATGGACTCCCATAGTTCTACAACGAATTGAGACATTTGGCAGAGTTTCAGTAGCTTAGCAGAGCAGTAGATGGAGAAGCAACCTTTTAGCTGTGTAGATTCCAGTCTCCAGTCGCTGTTGGACGAGTAGTAACTCAGTAGTTTGAGTATTTTGAGTCTCACGCGAAATTGTTTGCACTTGGACGAGAACTACTCAAGAGATACCCATGTCGCGCGTCTTTGTAGGCGATGACCTGGGCCCAGAGACACAATACACAGCAGGGCCAGGTACAGTGCTACATAAAGGCCGGATAGCCGCTACTTTAATCGGCACAGTGCATACAGATGCGACCCGGCAACCACCCCTCATCAGTGTCAGTCGCCCGGCAAAGCATCGTGTAGGCCAGGAAAATACAGTCACGGCAGAGACACTCCTGCCGCAGGTCGGCGATATTGTACTGTGTCGCATCACGCGCATCAGCAGACTCCAAGCGACTGCGCAAATCATCGTCATTGGAACAACTGCCCTACAAGATGACTTTACGGGGATCATTCGGGTGGCGGACATCCATCTACATGACAAGGACAAGACACAAGTGGCTGCGAGTTTCAGACCAGGCGATATATGTCGCGCACAAGTCATCTCGCTCGGCGATGCAGGCGCATACTACCTGGCAACGACGCAAAACGAGCTTGGCGTTGTCTTTGCCTGGGATGAGTTTGGTGAGATGATGTATCCAGTCAGTTGGCGAGAAATGCGGTCTGATCGTGGATCCGTTGAGGAACGCAAGGTGGCCAAGCCCTTCCTGCAAGCGTAGCAGCAGCATTCATCTTCTGTACATCCATCTATAGCGCTCATCAGCATTAGCATCAACCACCTCAGAACGTCGACCAGGTCCAATCTGTGGGTACAGACTGCGCCGGGAGTCCCCTGCCATCCTCATCCTCTTCCTTCTTGACATTCATTGCAATCCCCCGGCTACCTTCTCCAGCACTCGACGCAATCGGCCGACGCACTGTCGGTGGGCTGAGGAAGAGTTCAAACTCTCGACGACAATGTGCACATGCCCTTCCCATCTGTCCATCTTGCGGTGCGCCACCAGGCTTGACAAATGTCGCATCAGGCGACAACATGACTGTATAGCTTGAATGCGCACTGCAAAAGATCTTGCCACAACATCGACAATGGTGTTTCCTGTCAAATAGCGTGAAAGTCTTGGCACACGCAGTACAAGCACTCGCAGAAGCATCTGGCTGCCAATGATCACGGGAAATACCTTGACCTGCAGCAAACGTCGCCGTACTCGCAATACTCGTCACCGTCCCACTCCGATCCCTGCCAACTGGCTGATTTCTTCGCTGTGAAGATAAAGACGCTTCACTACGACTTCCCTCGCTGCGTCGATCATCAGGTCCGCGCGTAGAAGGCGATCCAACCAGAGTCGCATGCTGTGCGAGTCGTGAGGATGAGTTTGTACGGAGTGCTGCAGGCCGATAAGTGGCGCGTTTCTGTCCGCCAGTGACGAAATGAAGGGACGTATCGAGATTTGCCTCGGACGATGCATTCGTCGCTGCGGCCATGCTAAGGAGGTGTTGTCACTTGTGTGAGCTGATGCGCTGGTAAATTGAGTTTGGGCGTGTTCTTTGGTTGAAATTTGACTTTGACCAGGGACGACAAGACAAATAGAGCAGCTTAGACTGCCAGGATTGGGTGCTAGACATGCTCAGTCATTTCTACAAAGCTGTTGCTACTCATAAAACTGGTAAGCAGGTCCTAGATCTCTTACCATGAGCTCAAGCTGCGATCATTCGTGCCGCAACCAAATATGCTACTTGGGCTTCCGTCGCTGAAGACGATGATCTCGTGTTGATTACAGCCCTGGCTAGAAGGAAGATGAGTTAAAGGCACTTTCTCGCAAGTATATGGTCAGAGCTATAAAACAGTTCTGCTCGAGCGCTGGCTCAGTCAAGATCGGGAGGGAGACGCTATGCGGACTGAGCTGACAGCTCGGCGCCTCCTGCTTAGGCATGAGGACGCATGTCACATCAGACTGCGTCGCCACGGCCAGTCGCCTTCTAAGGCCGTATGGAGCTCAAGGAAAGAGTTCTTTGCATACCGGATTGCTTGCTGCCGCCGGACAACCAAGTCCGCGGCATTCAAGGCTGTATCAATGCAAGCAGAGCCGCAGTCGCCGTCTTCCACGACGTAAGGCTTGATGATGACTCGGTAGCTAAGAAGTTCCACAACAGCCTTGTCGAATGAGCCATCGCTCTAGCAAAATGGCTTCATAGAACCTGCCACATACCTTGAAAAAATTGTTCAGTCGCATGCACATGTGTGCAGACAACACAAGTTTTACGCTAACGACAGCGCACGGCTTAATGCTTAAAAGTGAAGTTTGATTGACCTAGTCTAGCTGTTGTGCTTGATGACACCCCTGCAGTGACGTAGGCTGAGACGGTAAAAGGTCTGCGATTGCGTCCAGATCGTCGATTCATTTTCAGATGACATTCGCCAAATTGCAACACCACACCAACAGCATTACATAGCTCATAGCCGTCGTTCGCCTGTGGGATATCTCAGGCACTACAAACTACGCTCACGTCATGACTTGATCATCCCGTCTCTCATGAGTCTGCATCAGACACCCAGTTATTGGCGAATTTAGACTAAACCATGTATGCCATCTAATCAATCGATCAAATAATATTAGCAGCCGTAATATTGCCACATTCAGGCATCTTCAGCTTCTGCCCGAAAGTATCAGCTGTCCACAGCAATACGCCATTACTCCAACCAAAGCCTTTCACAACTTCTGTTTCTTGTTAGCAAGAGCAGATCATCTCATAGCAATGCATACCGTATTCGCCACCGCCTCCGACAGCGTCAATAGCAGCGTTGCTGTACTTCTCAAACATCGTTCCGTTATTGGCGGGATCACTTCCGTTGAGCTGTACGATGGGAGGGCTCAAGTTTGGATGACTGCCGCCCGTAGACCGCCACGTGCAATAAGTCGAGTCGACGTATCGCTGAGCTACAGTCAATGCAGTTTGTTGAAGTTCCTCGTAGTCTGTATCATTTTCGCCTGATGGAGTGGATGCAAGGGCGCCTTGCATGATGATGTATTGAAGAGGTGGCCAGACATTGGGTGAATCCCATTGTTGACCCGAAGCCACATCAGTCGTTGCGATACCGCCGGGGAACATGGCGAGCTGGTTCCGTACAGGGGCGTAAAGGCGATTCAAGGCCGTGTTGTTGTACTTGAGTTCATCTGGAATCGCACCTGCCCACAATGGGTAAAACTGTGCAGCGGAGAAGGCCACTTGCTTCGTTGCATTGAATGGTCCTGTGATGGTTATGGTGTTTTGAGCCTTGCTCGTCAAATTGTAATCAAAGTAAGCGCCGAGTGAAGCATTGTACATCAAGTTGTACATGCCCTGCTGGCGTTTGTATGCGCGTGCTTCCCATGCGCGTGACGCACTCATGTTGCCGGTTGTCCTGTAAAAGTCTGAAATGACAATCTCGTTAAAGTACAGGATCGAGTTGAGATCAACGGGGATGATGTTTTGCGTGTTCAGAGTACGCAATGGGACTGCATTGCCGTTTGCAGCAGCAGCTGGGTTTGCAATCCAGCGAGAAGAGTAGTCCCAGCCAGATTCTGCGCCTGCTGCCAAATCGGCATACAACGTTGCCTTTTGAGATTCAGTCAGGTTGACAGAAACGGGGTATTGCGAGCCATTACTGCTGAAGTAAGTCAAATTGTTGGCAGTCTCGTAGTCTTCACGGTATGATTCTGGACGTGGCTGGTTGTTGAGGACAGAGTAGCGAGAGAGGTTATACATGCCTCGTGTGGTGTTGACGAGGATAGTGTTATTTTGCTGCCAAAAGGCTTGTTCTCGGACAAGCAGAGGCAGAGCACGATCCAGGAGCGACGTATCGTTGGTCTGTTCAATGTAGACACGCACCATCTGGGTCAAGACGGGCGGCTGGCTTCGATTGAGATAGTAAGCGCGTGCACCATTGGGCACAAAGCCGTATTGCTCAATGAAATCGAGAAAATTGAGGATGATGTCCTTGGAAATGTCCTTGTATGTGCCGCCCGATCGGAGAAGACCCTCGACAATCCAGAAAGAGTCCCAATAGTATGGCTCGAGGAAGCGCCCGACGCCTGCAACAACAAAGGTTCGATTGACAGGCAAGAAAGATGTGACGCAGCCATCGCAAAGTTGCTTGGGTGCATACTCGCGCGTCAAGCTTGGCCAGATGTCAATGACCTGCGAGACAAAATCTGCCACAATGCTCGAATTGACCGTTGACAAGAACGTTGCATTGGCTGTGATGGAGCGGTTGGACATCACGAGCTCAGTGCCGGCTTGACCGAAGTTCTCACTCAAGAACGTCTGCAGCTCGGTATTGTTGCTCAGCGGCTTTGTCAAATTGGCGAAAGCCGCCAAGACTTCGTCCACCGGTTTGATAGTTGGCAGATCCACAAATGTCTTGGAGTCTGCAAAGGGCCTAGCAAGTTCGACGGCCTTGAGAAGTTCGCCCTGGCAAAAGATGGGGCTATTACATGGTGCAATGATGGTTGATCCGTTTGTTGAATTCGATGTTCCGAAGTATGTACCTGCGACGGTAGCGACTGAAATGGCTGCAAAGGAGCGGAGCAGCATCGTGTAGCAACAGATAAAGGGTGATGCAAGCAGTAGAATAAAGACGGAGAGAAGAGAGTGTGGTGGGCTCGACATCCTTTTAGAGCAAGCCCTCAGCCCGCAGCACTAGGGCTGCTTCTGGTAAGCGATGCAAGTTTGTCTGGGGGTCGGGCGTTCCGAGCCTCATCTGAGACTTGTGCGACTACGAGCGCTCATCTGCTGGTGTCTCTCGAACTTTTTAAGCATGACGTACATGACGTATTCTGCCGTCTGTCAATTTGTCTGTCAAGTGACTCAGACCCAGACGCGGGATTGATTCGGCTAAGTTGAACAGCCTACTTGAGTATACTCCATCTACATGACGGTAAATAGACTGGTCCATACGGACACCATCGCTGCTGCCAAAGGCAAACTCGAATCTAATGGCTGTCAGGCTTGCTGCAATCAAACTCAGATTCAGAGCTCAAGGCCGCGCTGGTGCTGTAGCTGCCATAACACGAAGCACACGACAGGACTGGCACTTCAGTCACAGCAGCATGGCATTGCTCTCTCGCTTGCTTCCGCGTGGTAAGTATCTTTGGAGCATCAAGTGGGACGCAATGGAATTGCTCGTCTCTGCGTCGCCAAAAAGCGTGATATAGTCAGAGAGGCACATCGCTAGCCACCTGAGAGAATGCCAGCTCCTTTACCGCCAAGGAAAATGCCATTTGGTATGCTACAAGGTCTTGGCCGCTTATAAGCTCAGGCATACATCCCAACCGCAAGTCATTCACATGCACTCACGACTACACCATCGTGTTGAAAGGTTTGTGATGGTGCGCTGGCAGTACTTTGCCGACGGTGTGACTATGAAGCTTTGTCAAGGTATTTGCCAGAGCCTTCTCAAGGTATTTGCCGTAACCTTGCCAAGTTTGCCTTCCCCAAGGTCTTGCAGAGCACTTTCCTCCTTCCGACGGTGGGGACTTGGAAGAGGCATGCGCTCCTACCTTATCAAAAGTCTAGAATCTATACCGCATTCGGGCTACTAGGCACTACTCACCGACCTCTCGGTTAGCTCATCTCCGAGCACATGGTCGAATACGAGACAATTATTTGCCCCTTACTTGTGCCTCCTGACTCTATCAATGCTCGGATACTAAAGGAGATCGCAGCCAATTTCTCATCTCTGCCTCTGATCTAATTCGACATTCTCAAAGAGAGCAGGCGATGCGCGTCAGCAAACCATACTTCCTACTCTTGTTCGGCTTTTCTACCTTTTCTGGCTCGCGGTGTGCAGCTGATCACACTTGCTCGTCCAAGCCGTATCCTTACCCTTTCCAATCGATTCCACAGGCAGGCTACAACAACAACGGGCGGCCACTGAACGTTCATTCTATACCACCTGCGAAAGTGTCATTGGCAGCGTGCCGCGTATTGCACTGGGAGGGTGACGGCAAGGGTGGTGGATCATTTCAATTACAACCGTGTAATGTGACGACAACAAATGACGGCACCGGCGGGCACTGTTTCGTGATTGCTGTAGATCATGAGGCCGAGAGACTCATCAAGGCTGGTCATCCAGATACGTGGAATGTCTTCAATGTCAAGAAAGGACCTCATGGGGAGATACTGCACAAATTTGCCCTCTTTTGTGGCTATGTCGAGACACTTTATGATGGTACCTTAGTGCCAACGCTTTCGCTGAAGGGGCATGAGAACACACTGCGGAATGCAGCGCTTGCTATGGGAGAAGTGGCGCGCAAAGCGTACACTCCGCCTGCTCCAGCTGGCAGTCATTCTACCCTCACGTGCAGGTGGGATTACACGCGTGACCTGGAATTCGTTCAATGGAATTGCTATGTGACAACTTGTCTTTGGACTAACTAGCTATATATCTGAGGTCTTCCTAGTCATGAATGGATTGTTCCCCGCTCGATGTGCTCATGTGCTGTAAATTGCAAAGGCCAAACTGTGTCGTCGAATGCATTTGACACGCCCAAAAAAGTCTGCTCATGATCAGCTAACCTTGTCCTTGTGGATTGTTGCAAAGACCACTGTATCTCTACTTCGAAGACCTCTCAAGAAGTCGAGCGGTATCACAACAGCATTATGAATCTGTGGTATAACTCAGGACATGGAAGCTGTCAAGTTGAGCATTGGTGTCTTAATCCTGTCGTTGACTACGTCTTCTGTTGGATGATGCCGTTGCAACCGAAGCGTACAAGTTCATGGCCAACTCAGGTGACATTTGTTGAGTTTTCATCGAAATGTGCTTCATGACCAGTTCTGCATAGCTCTTCTTGTCTTTGTTTGGAATCGCTCGGTCGTGAAACAGACAAGCTTATGGCATGCATATAATATGATACCAAGAGGTTGATTCAGTAGACAAATGAAAATTCGGCATTTTCACAGCGATCAACTCTATTCGCATTTGTTTTATGTTCACCGCGTCGAACAAATCCGAAACTTTGAACTGCCCTATTGGTCATCCCTTGGTAGTTGTGAGGAACGATCTTTCTGTTAGGAATTCAAGTGCATCCGGGTCAACGTTCCGGCCCGTCTAGCAACGCGGTGTTAAGGAACACCAAGAGGATCAGCAATGGCCTAAGTGCTTGGAAGGATGAGCTGCTGCTTGTCGCTCAGCAGGCTGGCGTTGAGACTTACATCTTTCAGGAGATACACGCACGCCGCGTCAAAGCAGCAATACGCTGCGCAGACGCCATGCAGAAGGCCGACGAAGACGCTGAGGCCCGTATCGCCGCTCTCGAAGCCCTCATGAAAGATGACAAGCTTAAGGCCCCAAAAGCCTATAGCGCCCCCTCGACTCGCTCCAAGTCCAAATCGATGGAGGAGGAATCAAGCGAGGATGAAAGCACAAAGCCTTACACTGGTCCGTGCTACATCAACTCTGAGGGGTATCTTGCACCTGCGACCTTTGAAGAATGGTCGCATCTTGAACCAACTTGGGACAAGAACAGCAAGGCGCTTTTCTTGCTGAAAGGAGGTCTCGACAGGTCTGACCTGGAAGCAATCAAAGACATCGCAGTCGCCTGCGTTGCTTTCAAGACTGTCTTGTCTCGACACAAGCAGCCTGACACTTTGCGAAAGTTGCAATTGGTCACGAAGCTCAATAAGCTCTCTTTGCCTCCTGGCAATACCACATCTTCAGCTATTGAGACCCTGATGGTGGACGTTCAAGCCACCATTGCCCAGTTGCGCAGCCTTGATCCCACCGGCAAGACGTTTGACGAAGACATGGAAATTGCCATGATCTACGCCAAACTCCCAGGCGATTTGCAGGACCTCACGCTGCACACACTCTCCTCGGATGGACCACACTCTATCCGCAGTTTTGTGCAGCAAGTGCGCTTCAAGATACAGTCGGATGACTATCTCAAGACGCACGGCAAGCACAAGTCTCTGGCAGACTCAGCCGCTGACGCTTCCCAAACCCTTTACCAATCATCAACGGAAAAAGGGATGCTCGCTCAAGAGCATAAGTCTCAATTGAAGCAGAAGTCTTCAAAGAAGCCGAGGAAAAGGCATTCTCTTCACAAGCCTTCATCTGAGACGAAGCAAAGTAGCCCTCCAACTGAATCAAAATCACAGTCTGAGGGCAAGCCAAATCCCAACACGGCATACTTTGCTCGCGAAACAACCCTAGCTGAACGTAGCTGGGTGATCGACTCCGGTGCCACGTCGCATATGACACCGTCGCAAGAGTTGATCTCTGATCTCTCTCATGATGCTTCCATTAGCATCACATCCGCCAATGGCGAAGAGATGATCTCCGCTGGTTTTGGGCATGCTGCATTTGCCGTGCCAGATCAAACCAGCTTGGTGCCCTTGTCCAAAGTTTGGCATGTGCCAAATCTCACTGAACATCTTTTATCAGTGAGCGCACTCAATGAGGACGGTTTTGACGTACTGTTCTCGGCCAAACATGGACCAGCCCTCCTCAAAGACAGTGTTGTCGTCGCTACTGGCAGGCGTGTCGGTAAAGGCTTTGTCCTAGACGGCACAATTGCTAAAGTCCAGCCTCAGGCAAGTGAGTTTGCCCTTTTCACAAAGGAAAAGGCACCGACGGATGCCCTTGAGTGGCACCGACGACTTTGCCATATGTCCATCAAGGACATGAAACGACTTTCGAAGTTTGTCGACGGATTTCCCGACGATCTGGTCTACCCGGAATACTTCGATTGCTCTGGCTGTGCAGCTGGAAAGAGCAAGCGCTCGAGCTTTCCCTCTGTGGCAAATTCTGCCACTCAGCGGCTTGACATAGTCCACATTGATGTTGCTGGACCAATGCGCACCAATTCTATCAATGATGCACGATATTTTCTCATCATTGTTGACGGGTTTTCCAAGTACGTTTGGGCGTACATGCTGAAAGATGTCACTGCAGACACCGTCTGTAACATCTACAAAGCTTGGGAAACTGTTGCCACCAATCACGTTGGCGACAAAGTCAAAATTGTTCGCTCTGATGGAGGTAACGAGTTCAAGGGGAGCTTTCGCCAGCACCTCATTACGCAAGGCACCACTCACCAAACAACTGTTCCGCATACGCCTGAGCAGAATGGTGTTGCAGAGCGCCACATTCGCACTGTTGTCGAAAAGGCTCGCTCATCGCTTCTTGATGAGACGGTTGGTCCTCTCCCGCGCAATTTATGGGCTGAGTTGACCTCCACAGCCGTCTACGCCATCAATCGTTCGCCTCATACTGGTCTCGACAAGACGCCATACGAACTGTGGTATGGCAAACGACCAGATTGCTCGCATATGAGGACTCCTGGTACCATTTGCTGGTCACACAACCCGCGAATCAAGGACAGGTGGGATGCGCGCGCCAACAAAGCTATGTTTTTGGGCTACAGTGATACTTCCAAAGCTTGGCGAGTCTTAGATCTTGCCACTGGGAAAGTTGTTCTCAACCACTCGGTCATTTTTGATCATGCTGTGGCAAAAGAACTGTCTGTCAACAAGGATGTCGATCCTCGTCAGCTCACAGACGCTCAGCTCGAAGCTATAGCTAGCGGCAATGCTGCAAGTGTCGAATTTACTGACGAGCAGCTCGAAGCTATCGCTAGTAGCGGTCTTGACGTTACTACTAATGATGACGAGCTTGATGAATATGCTTTTATGCTTACTGCTCAAGATGTTCTCCCAGCTCCTGTAACTGTCAAACAAGCTTTATCCCGCTCTGACGCACCTGAATGGCGTGCCTCTATGGAACGCGAGCTCGCCTCTCTTGAAGGCAAAGGAGTTTTTGAGTACGTCGCTAAGCTACCTCCAGGCCGAAAGGCCATTGGGGCACGCTGGATCTTCAAGAACAAGATCCTCGCTGATGGCACTTTCGACAAGCGCAAGTCGCGTCTTGTCGCTAAGGGCTACTCTCAGAAAGCTGGCGTAGACTACAACGAGACGTATGCTCCAGTCACTCGACTGGAGTCTGTGCGCATGCTTATCGCACTCGCTTCAATTTACAAGCTTCATCTTCACCAGATGGACATTGCCACCGCTTACCTCAATGCAAACCTGTTTGAGGAGATTTTCATGATCGCTCCTCCAGGTTTCTCCAACGAGAACTTCCCGTTCGTTAGGCTCAAGAAGGCTCTCTACGGTCTAAAACAAGCTGGCAAAGCCTGGAACGATGATTTGCACGTCACCCTCACTGCTGCTGGCTATGAACGCTCGATGCACGACTTTGGCATCTATCAGCATCAGACAAACGCGTCCTTGCTCTGCGTCTACGTCGACGACATTCTGATGGCTTTCTCGGACATCGCGCACAAAGAGCATCTTCTCAAGGCTCTTACCAAACGCTACGAGCTGTCCGATCTCGGCCCTGCCAATTCCATTCTCGGCATGCGCGTCTCACACAACAACGGCGTATACACTCTCGATCAATCCACCTATATTGAATCGATCGCCACCGACCACCGCTTAGCCAACTGCCATCCAAGGCACCTGCCAGCCAGTGTCGGCACCATTCTCACCACTGACGGCACTACCCACCAGCCGACTGACGACCAGCCGGCCAACAAAACTGCTTACCAATCCATTGTTGGGGAGCTTCAGTGGATAGCCATCTCGACCAGACCCGATGTTGCCTATATTGTCGGTGTTCTAGGTCGTTTCTCTGCCAAGCCGACTACTTCTCACATGAAGTTGGCTCGTGGCGTCCTCGCGTACCTGTTCACGACTCGCAATTTGCGACTGCGATACGACGGAAACGACGAGTTTGCTGGGTACTCTGACTCTGACTACTCAGGGTGCCTGGATACAAGGAAGAGCACATCTGGCTATGTGTTCATGCTTGGGGGAGCTGCAATCACCTGGCAGTCAAAGCGCCAAAACATTGTTGCCACATCGACCATGGAAGCCGAATATATTGGCCTCTCCAACGCGTCAAAAGAGGCTCTCTGGCTGCGCGAGCTCATGCTCGGCATCAAGATCAGCAATGTGCTCAACTCCGACGGTTCCATCAATTTATTTGGGGACAATCAGGCTGCGCTGAAGTTGGCACACAATCCTGTGTTTCACGCCAAGAGTAAGCACATCGAAGTGAAGTACCATCACACTCGATCCCTGATTGAGCAAGGCAAGATCAAGCTACACTACGTCGGCACAAAACTGCAAAAAGCCGATCTCCTTACCAAGCTCCTTCCACGTCCTGCATTGGAGACGCAACGACTGCTTCTCGGCCTCGTCTAAGCACTTCGCTTTATCGAGATAGAGGGAGTGTTAGGAATTCAAGTGCATCCCCTGATCACTTGCTTCCGCTGTTATCTCTCTGCCACGTCAGCGCTCATGCACGTGACCTTTAGTTTAGTCTTAGCTGGCAAGAGTGCTATACTCTTGTCCCCTATCCGAATCAAGTCTTATCTGCAGCTGCCCTGCGTGCCTGTGTCTATCACCTACGACTACAGCCTCGCATATCCGCCAATCTCGATTATATTTGGTATGTCAGTATCACATTTGTTCCGCAATCTCGCATGAAAATAATGCCATACATAGCATATTTGTTCACCGCGTGCACTTCTAGTGGCTGAAATTGCTCGCGATTTCGCAGTCCCGGAGTCTGAATGCAAGGGGTCCGTGATTGAACTCCGAAGTTGTCGCAAACATTGAAATTTCCCATTGCCAAGACAAGATACCCCTGAACCATCCAAATCGCATTTAAAGCGTCGTCTCTTGGCTTGTGTCCGTCAGCTACGAGACTCAGTCCTCACAATGCTACCGCACTTTCTGCAGCTGTCAATTCTCCAACTGGTTTCTATGCTTGTTGTAGTGAATGGAGCCACTCCTAACAAAGTACCCAATTCTGTGGCATGCACCGGCGGTAGGACAATTCAGTACAAGGAGCTTGTCTCGGACCTCGAAGCTGCCCCAGTAGCACGCGCTTGGGGTTGCCCCAGCCGGCATGTCGGCAAGGTGAAACAGTCATTCAAATTGAGCTTTACAAGCTAACTTGAGCATCGTGTTACGGATGGAGAAAAGAGGGGTCACTCAGGTTATATCCTGACATACTACACCCAAGTTTCTGGCGACTACACAGCTAACATTTTTTGCCACATGAGCCTAGATGGCCAACTTTGCCACTAATAAAAGCATCATTAACATACGTCACACGACGTCGACAAAGTTTCACGCATCTTTGGAAGAGAAACAAGCTTTGCCTTTCCATATTTCTTACGCTGCGCGTAATATCGATTAGTCCAATTTTCAAGTATGCCTGATCCCACATGACCGGTCACACGATGAGCTGTGATAATTGATTGATTAAGGCATAGAAAGTAATCGAGATTGGCGGATATGCGAGGCTGTAGTCGTAGGTGATAGACACAGGCACGCAGGGCAGCTGCAGATAAGACTTGATTCGGATAGGGGACAAGAGTATAGCACTCTTGCCAGCTAAGACTAAACTAAAGGTCACGTGCATGAGCGCTGACGTGGCAGAGAGATAACAGCGGAAGCAAGTGATCAGGGGATGCACTTGAATTCCTAACACTCCCTCTATCTCGATAAAGCGAAGTGCTTAGACGAGGCCGAGAAGCAGTCGTTGCGTCTCCAATGCAGGACGTGGAAGGAGCTTGGTAAGGAGATCGGCTTTTTGCAGTTTTGTGCCGACGTAGTGTAGCTTGATCTTGCCTTGCTCAATCAGGGATCGAGTGTGATGGTACTTCACTTCGATGTGCTTACTCTTGGCGTGAAACACAGGATTGTGTGCCAACTTCAGCGCAGCCTGATTGTCCCCAAATAAATTGATGGAACCGTCGGAGTTGAGCACATTGCTGATCTTGATGCCGAGCATGAGCTCGCGCAGCCAGAGAGCCTCTTTTGACGCGTTGGAGAGGCCAATATATTCGGCTTCCATGGTCGATGTGGCAACAATGTTTTGGCGCTTTGACTGCCAGGTGATTGCAGCTCCCCCAAGCATGAACACATAGCCAGATGTGCTCTTCCTTGTATCCAGGCACCCTGAGTAGTCAGAGTCAGAGTACCCAGCAAACTCGTCGTTTCCGTCGTATCGCAGTCGCAAATTGCGAGTCGTGAACAGGTACGCGAGGACGCCACGAGCCAACTTCATGTGAGAAGTAGTCGGCTTGGCAGAGAAACGACCTAGAACACCGACAATATAGGCAACATCGGGTCTGGTCGAGATGGCTATCCACTGAAGCTCCCCAACAATGGATTGGTAAGCAGTTTTGTTGGCCGGCTGGTCGTCAGTCGGCTGGTGGGTAGTGCCGTCAGTGGTGAGAATGGTGCCGACACTGGCTGGCAGGTGCCTTGGATGGCAGTTGGCTAAGCGGTGGTCGATGGCGATCGATTTAATATAGGTGAATTGATCGAGAGTGTATACGCCGTTGTTGTGTGAGACGCGCATGCCGAGAATGGAATTGGCAGGGCCGAGATCGGACAGCTCGTAGCGTTTGGTAAGAGCCTTAAGAAGATGCTCTTTGTGCGCGATGTCCGAGAAAACCATCAGAATGTCGTCGACGTACTCAAAAGCTCCTTTGCCTTCAAGAGAGACGAGCTCGCGTTCCATAGAGGCACGCCATTCAGGTGCGTCAGAGCGGGATAAAGCTTGTTTGACAGTTACAGGAGCTGGGAGAACATCTTGAGCAGTAAGCATAAAAGCATATTCATCAAGCTCGTCATCATTAGTAGTAACGTCAAGACCGCTACTAGCGATAGCTTCGAGCTGCTCGTCAGTAAATTCGACACTTGCAGCATTGCCGCTAGCTATAGCTTCGAGCTGAGCGTCTGTGAGCTGACGGGGATCGACATCCTTGTTGACAGACAGTTCTTTTGCCACAGCATGATCAAAAATGACCGAGTGGTTGAGAACAACTTTCCCAGTGGCAAGATCTAAGACTCGCCAAGCTTTGGAAGTATCACTGTAGCCCAAAAACATAGCTTTGTTGGCGCGCGCATCCCACTTGTCCTTGATTCGCGGGTTGTGTGACCAGCAAATGGTACCAGGAGTCCTCATATGCGAGCAATCTGGTCGTTTGCCATACCACAGTTCGTATGGCGTCTTGTCGAGACCAGTATGAGGCGAACGATTGATGGCGTAGACGGCTGTGGAGGTCAACTCAGCCCATAAATTGCGCGGGAGAGGACCAACCGTCTCATCAAGAAGCGATGAGCGAGCCTTTTCGACAACAGTGCGAATGTGGCGCTCTGCAACACCATTCTGCTCAGGCGTATGCGGAACAGTTGTTTGGTGAGTGGTGCCTTGCGTAATGAGGTGCTGGCGAAAGCTCCCCTTGAACTCGTTACCTCCATCAGAGCGAACAATTTTGACTTTGTCGCCAACGTGATTGGTGGCAACAGTTTCCCAAGCTTTGTAGATGTTACAGACGGTGTCTGCAGTGACATCTTTCAGCATGTACGCCCAAACGTACTTGGAAAACCCGTCAACAATGATGAGAAAATATCGTGCATCATTGATAGAATTGGTGCGCATTGGTCCAGCAACATCAATGTGGACTATGTCAAGCCGCTGAGTGGCAGAATTTGCCACAGAGGGAAGCTCGAGCGCTTGCTCTTTCCAGCTGCACAGCCAGAGCAATCGAAGTATTCCGGGTAGACCAGATCGTCGGGAAATCCGTCGATAAACTTCGAAAGTCGTTTCATGTCCTTGATGGACATATGGCAAAGTCGTCGGTGCCACTCAAGGGCATCCGTCGGTGCCTTTTCCTTTGTGAAAAGGGCAAACTCACTTGCCTGAGGCTGGACTTTAGCAATTGTGCCGTCTAGGACAAAGCCTTTACCGACACGCCTGCCAGTAGCGACGACAACACTGTCTTTGAGGAGGGCTGGTCCATGTTTGGCCGAGAACAGTACGTCAAAACCGTCCTCATTGAGTGCGCTCACTGATAAAAGATGTTCAGTGAGATTTGGCACATGCCAAACTTTGGACAAGGGCACCAAGCTGGTTTGATCTGGCACGGCAAATGCAGCATGCCCAAAACCAGCGGAGATCATCTCTTCGCCATTGGCGGACGTGATGCTAATGGAAGCATCATGAGAGAGATCAGAGATCAACTCTTGCGACGGTGTCATATGCGACGTGGCACCGGAGTCGATCACCCAGCTACGTTCAGCTAGGGTTGTTTCGCGAGCAAAGTATGCCGTGTTGGGATTTGGCTTGCCCTCAGACTGTGATTTTGATTCAGTTGGAGGGCTACTTTGCTTCGTCTCAGATGAAGGCTTGTGAAGAGAATGCCTTTTCCTCGGCTTCTTTGAAGACTTCTGCTTCAATTGAGACTTATGCTCTTGAGCGAGCATCCCTTTTTCCGTTGATGATTGGTAAAGGGTTTGGGAAGCGTCAGCGGCTGAGTCTGCCAGAGACTTGTGCTTGCCGTGCGTCTTGAGATAGTCATCCGACTGTATCTTGAAGCGCACTTGCTGCACAAAACTGCGGATAGAGTGTGGTCCATCCGAGGAGAGTGTGTGCAGCGTGAGGTCCTGCAAATCGCCTGGGAGTTTGGCGTAGATCATGGCAATTTCCATGTCTTCGTCAAACGTCTTGCCGGTGGGATCAAGGCTGCGCAACTGGGCAATGGTGGCTTGAACGTCCACCATCAGGGTCTCAATAGCTGAAGATGTGGTATTGCCAGGAGGCAAAGAGAGCTTATTGAGCTTCGTGACCAATTGCAACTTTCGCAAAGTGTCAGGCTGCTTGTGTCGAGACAAGACAGTCTTGAAAGCAATACAGGCGACTGCGATGTCTTTGATTGCTTCCAGGTCGGACCTGTCGAGACCTCCTTTCAGCAAGAAAAGTGCCTTGCTGTTCTTGTCCCAAGTTGGTTCAAGATGCGACCATTCTTCAAAGGTCGCAGGTGCAAGATACCCCTCAGAGTTGATGTAGCACGGACCAGTGTAAGGCTTTGTGCTCTCATCCTCGCTTGATTCCTCCTCCATCGATTTGGACTTGGAGCGAGTCGAGGGGGCGCTATAGGCTTTTGGGGCCTTAAGCTTGTCATCTTTCATGAGGGCTTCGAGAGCGGCGATACGGGCCTCAGCGTCTTCGTCGGCCTTCTGCATGGCGTCTGCGCAGCGTATTGCTGCTTTGACGCGGCGTGCGTGTATCTCCTGAAAGATGTAAGTCTCAACGCCAGCCTGCTGAGCGACAAGCAGCAGCTCATCCTTCCAAGCACTTAGGCCATTGCTGATCCTCTTGGTGTTCCTTAACACCGCGTTGCTAGACGGGCCGGAACGTTGACCCGAAGCAGTAGCGTCTTGCTGCATAGCAACAGTGCTCATAACCTAATCGAGATTGGCGGATATGCGAGGCTGTAGTCGTAGGTGATAGACACAGGCACGCAGGGCAGCTGCAGATCTACTCATCATATATTATTGGAAAAGGTCAAAAAACGACAGGCAACAATGGCCGCTTTCGGAAAGACTAAGCGACGCGCACAGGTAAAGAAATTCGAGCGCTGCTGCCTGCTGCTGCTGCTTCCAGGAATTCACGTGACATGTCCAGAGAAACGCCTAGAACCTTGCTACTCTCAAAAGCGGGTCACAGATGACCGCTCCCTTTTTACTGCAGATGCTTATGCAATGGCCAAACCATCGGAAATGCAGGCTGCTGCTCATTCTGCGAGACGTCTGCTGTCAATCAAATTGAACTACTGGTTACAGCTAGCTGTCATCGCCAGTATTGCAATGTAACTTCTGATTGGGTAGAGGCAAAGGCAGATGCCAAGCTATTGAACTGCAGGCCGCTGCTTCTTCTACGATCAAACTGCTGACAATGCTGAAAAGGCGATTGCTCTCAGAACGAATCAGTCAAGCTGATGGATTGCAAACTGCAGCTTCACTTTGCTAGAGCAGCGCTGACTGTTAATTACAACCAAGCTGCAACTTTACTTTGCTAAAGCGGCACTGTCTCCGTATGCTACAGCTTCTCTTTGCTGCATCCATGATGTGTAAGGATCTAGGTGATCTGCGTGGTCATTACATGATGACCCTTCAGCAGAGCCTACTGCTTGATGCTTTCGCCCCTTGCTCGATCGATTCAGTCTATATTTTGACTGCAGGCTGCTTCCATTGCTGTGAGAGAGTGCTGCTCCCCGAATCGATCAAGCTCTCTCAAAGAATTGAACCGTCAGTCATGACAGTTGACGGGTGCATTGTCATTCTGCCGGAACAACGCTGTCTCTGTATGCTACAGCTTCTTTTTTGCTGCATCAGCAATGACTCTTGGACAGTGCTTTTTGCCTACTGCTTCTGCTCATTGCTCGGCTAATGCCAGTTTGTTTGAGATGCAGGCCATCGCTATGATGCTATTGCCGCATGGAGTGCAGACATACAGATTGATCTAGCTCTCTCAAGGAACAGATACTGTGAGTCGAAATAATTGTCGGCTGCAGCATCAATTTGCTATAAGAACGCTGACTGTGTATGCTATAACTTCTTCTTGATCTAGCTCTCTCAGAGAACAGATACTGTCAGTCGAAATAATTGTCGGCTGCAGCATCAATTTACTATAAGAACGCTGACTGCGTATGCTACAACTTCTTCTTGCTGTATCAGCGAAAGTTCCTCCGCAACGCTGGCCCGCATACTGTTTCCACTCTTTGCTGTGGTAAGTGACAGTACAACCAATCTATACGATTGCAGATTTTGGGTCCCATTGCAAGCTATAAAGCCTCTTTGCAAGAGTAGCGATGGATTTCGACTGACCTGGCCTCTGAATTACTGTTGCTCTTTGATGGATAGACTTCACTGTGGTTGTTCAAGCCGAATGTAGGCTATATCAAAGGTCTTCCAGAGGGTAGAGATGGACTCCAATTGAGCTAGGCTATGGACTGCTGATGCTCTTTGATCAACAGGTGTCACTGCGGCCCATCAAGTTCGATCGCAAGCTATCAGGTCTCTTTGCAAGGGGAAGGTGGGCTTCTACTGATTCAAGCTATGCTCTATTGTCGCACTCTGATAAACAGATGCCACTGCGGTTCATCGAGCTGATTGCAGACCATAGAGGCTCTTTGCAATAACAGCAGTTTGCACGTTGACGGAGCTGGCATATGAATTACTGATGCCTCATTCAACCGTGTCATAGGGAAAAGCCGCAGTCCATGACGCTCATAGAGGTGTCAATTCGCATCAGCAGGGAGATTCAAAAGTAACGTGACTAGAACCTGACGCCCCCCCCATTTGGGGGGGCCATCCCAGCTAGTAAGACTTGATTCGAATAGGGGACAAGAGTATAGCACTCTTGCCAGCTAAGACTAAACTAAAGGTCACGTGCATGAGCGCTGACGTGGCAGAGAGATAACAGCGGAAGCAAGTGATCAGGGGATGCACTTGAATTCCTAACAAAATATCTGTCATTTAGGCATATGCTACGACTCATGATGGGGTAATGTTGACCTGTCATCTTGCTCGCACTACAGATGAAACTATTTGTTCAACAATCACAATTTCGACAAACAACACAGGCTTTGCTGGCAGTTTGCTGCGAAACATACAAACAATCAACCAAAGCTCGCTCTTTTCCGAGATGACAACTGTTGCTGCCATGTCGATGCACCGTTCTTAGCTTGACCATAATCAACGCGTATCCTTTTCTACTGACGGCTGGCTCAATCCACCAAGTCACAACATTGCTCTCCTCAATCTTGTCGCTTTGTACGCCATGCTCACGAATTGTCAGGAGGTCGAAGAATTGGACGCATGAGTTGGCTCGCAAATTTCGCCCACGGCAATCTTTGCACAGCACAGCAAATAAAGCAAACAAATATTTGTTCGCACAAGAACTTGCCGCAGCTGCAGCTATGACACTTCTGACTAGTCTCGGGGTCTGGCGCGTCCGCTTTTCATGCGAGGAACTTCACGCGCTATCACAGTGTATCAGCAGTGCTAGTATGCATCGCTGTAAAGGACGGCATGTAGCAAATGGGAGAGCAAGCTCTATCGTGCGGCTCAGGTGCAACGAAGCTGCAGATGGAAGCACAACACATTGGCCAGATCACGAATGACGGCAGCTGCAGCGTCTTGATAGCGGCGGCAGAGTCAAGCAACACCTTCTGCCGATGGCACTCCCTGTGAACATTCAGTCCTTTCTCGAACGCCCATGTCCCTTGCCTCCAGTCGCGCAACGACACTCTTGGCGCTTGCACGGCTGGTCTAGGCCGAAACATTCAGTCTTGAGGCTTCATGCTCAGTCCTAGCAACATGAGCCATGATCACTGCAGCGACAGTAGATACACAGTCCTATCCCTAAGTCTACACTATCCCTGGCAAAGATTCAACCCCTTGCACGGGCCTTAGCCAGCGGCAAGAAGTGGTGGGTTCTTCTACCTCGAGCTGCGTATTCTATCAATACTCGAATACCAAAGGATATCGTCGTGATCTCTCGTTCCTCGTTTCTACCTTTGTTACAATTATCCTCCTCAAGGATAAGGCAATGCGCTTTAGCAAAATGCCCACCCTACTCTTATTCCGCTTCTCTAGGCTTAATGAGTGCCACTGCGTTCGCTTGCATGGTCAAGCGATATTCTTATCCTTTCCAGTCGATTCCAGAGACAGGCCGTAAGGTGGACAGGCAGCTACTAGACATTCGTTACGAAAGTGTCATCTTGCACCTTGGTCTTTAACGATCTCAGCGTCTCACACATCAGCTACTAAGGAGATGCTTGAGAGCTACTGTCTATAAAAGCTTTGCAAATCGCAAGCTAGTGTGGCTTCGGGAGAGCTTTCCCCAATTCAAAGTCAACGCAAGACGTTTTGGAGGCGCATTTGTCGCCAGAACAAGAAGGCCAACCAGTACACACTTTTGCACCATTATAATTGATTGTATAGCGGATATTTTTGTCCTTGTAGGGTAGAATTTCGTTTGCAGCCATGGCTGTTGAGAACAAGTTTGAGGTTGCAGGCTGCAACACGATGAGTTGAAGCGACTGAAGCAGAGCCAGTGACCAGGCGCAAGCTCGCATGGTGTCTTTCTTTGTCAGAAGGACTGATCGTTAGCCTGCGTCAATCTTCTTTGATCATGCTTACAATTGGGTTCTTCTTGGCGGGACTTGGACCAGGGATGAAGAGGGACGATGCGAGCAGGAGGGTTCTTATGTCCACTGCTCAGGGGGGCCGGGCATCCTATTGAGAATTGACAGCCTGGCAGGCTGGCAGCAGCAATGTTAGCAACGTCGTGTATCATGAAGTTGCATTTCTGAAAGATGTGCTCAACCCCTTGTTGAGATGAGTCAGGTGACAGGTGACCATGTCGCGCGAGTCGCTATTTTTCTTGTGTTTGTCGCTTGGGAGCAGTGGGCCATGCGGTTTGAAATGAGCTAGTCTCCTTGCAAGCACTGCCAGCCAGATCACTCAACAACTTGTAGAAGAACCTGCAATGAGGGTCAGAGACCGATGCGGTGCTATCTTGTTGCTTCGTTTTTTGGGCGCTTTGTTCTGAATGTGCTGTGCAGCTGACTACGGGAGTCAGTCGCCAGGTTGAAGATCAGCACGAGATGCTGAGAGGCAAAACGGACAGGCTAAAGTCTTCGACCGGCTTTTGCGACGATGCCTGGTTCAATGCGACATCGCTAATGTCCATTCAGCCAGCAACAACAGAGCTAACAGAACAATTGCTAGAGCTGCTTCAAAAAGCTGCAAATCGACCATGCTAAAGCCTGTTGGGCACCTTCATCAGTCACCTTGTGATTGGCGCCAGCAAGAACAAAGCTCTTTTCGAAACAGGGTGCGGCTGTATTTTGCTTCCAGAATGCAACGAGCTGTTCCTTGTCGACATTATGCGGCACATACTCATCGTTGCCACCGACAATCGCCATGAACGGGATCGTGATCCTGCCAAAGGTGGATTTGATGGTGTTTGCTGACAGCGTACTCGAGAAGTAATCATCTTGACCCAAAGGCGTAGCAACCGAGAGCCAGCGTCGAGCAGTCATGGCCACATCGCCGAATCCGACATTGCGCATCATCTGCCGCGGCAAAAGATCTTCAGGATGCAGGCCACGGGCAAAGTTTGTGACGATAGCTAATGCTTCTTTGTCACAAATTTCTTCAAATGCCTCACAATCACTGACGGGAGCTTGAAGGATGCCAGCAGAGATTTTGCCATGGTAAGGATGATTGACCTGAGTAAGAATCGTGTGGATTGTGTCTTGACAGCCTGTGGAGTGTCCGAGGAGGACAACTGATTTGAAGCCGTGCTTTGTTACCAAGCACTGGACAGCACACATGATTTCAGCAGCATCGTCATCAAGGGAAGCAAGACCCCAGCCACTGTAGCTAGAGCTGAGCAAGATTTGTACAATCGTAGCCTCGGTCATTGCTGCATGAAGCGTATCTAGGTAGGGCAATGAGAGCAACCCATCGCCCATGCCTGCGATACATAGCAGCGCAGTCTCCCTAGTCTTGGAACCATCGGCAATGAACAAGGATAGCGCAGGAGACTCTTGATACAAGACCAGCTCGCCCCGCATCAGATCACTCGGTAATAAGAGGTCGAGACGGCAGCAGCAGCTGGTGAAGATGGATGAAGTATTTGTTTCTCCGAGGGCGGCCCCACACGCATTTCGGCATCGACGCGAAAGATCAATCTATAAGAAGCCTCTGCCCTCAAGCCGGCCTCGTCTGCTTCTAAACACGGCTCAGTCATGGGAAATCACCTTATCGATGATTCAAGCTCCCTCATCTTGACGAGCCTTCGCGGCTTGTGTCGCTCTAATCCCCATCTCACGCTGGACACAACTCACCGAGTCTGCTTCATCAAGCCAAGCACGAAACGGGTCCACCTAGTCTCTGGCGGGGGTTCAGGCCATGAGCCTGCTATGGCGGGCTATGTTGGTACTAATATGCTTGATTGTGCCGTTGCCGGTGATGTCTTTGCAAGTCCATCAGCATCGGCCGTCACTGCAGGCGTCGTTGCCATGGGTGACAATCCAGTCTTGATTATCGTCTTCAGTTATACGGGAGACAGGCTTCATTTTGGTATGGCAGTAGAGAAACTCAATCGGCTTGGTGGTCAAGCAGACATGGTTGTGGTGGACGATGATGTTTCTGTTGGCCGCAAGCAAGGTGGTCGTGTTGGTAGGCGTGGCTTGGCAGGTACTGTTCTGGTACACAAGATTGCAGGTGGTGCTGCACAGTCTGGTCAAGCTTTTGCAGCAGTGAAGAAGCAGGCTCAGGAGGTGGTGGCAAACCTGGTGACTGTTGGTGCTAGTCTTACCCATGCCTCTGTGCCAGGCTCGAGTGGCGAAGAATCACAGTTGGCCCAGGATGAGATTGAGATTGGTATGGGTATCCACAATGAGCCTGGCTTCCAAAAGATCAAGACGCCACCAGCCAATGAGCTCGTTGAGTTGCTACTTAAGCAGTTGCTTGACCAGCATGATCAGGATCGTGCTTTCGTCCCCTTCAAAGCTAACGACGAGGTCGTTCTTCTCATCAATAACCTGGGTGCCATCTCCAATGTCGAGCTCTATGCATTCACGCAGATTGTGGCCGACCAAGTGGAAAGTGATTGGAAGCTCAAGATCGTACGAACCTACACGGGCAACTTTGTCACGTCGCTTGATGGTGCTGGAGCAAGTATAACCCTACTCAACCTCTCCAACATGCAAGACAGCGACTTGGCCTTGAGTTACCTTGACTTGCCAACGACGGCACCAGGATGGAACTGTGCAGCTGAGGCTTCTGCATGGTCAAGTGCATCTCAGGAAGTAGTCACTAAACCACTGCCAAAGGAGAAATCTGATGCAATCTTGCCAGTAGACGAAGCATTGACACGCAGATTGATTGATGCTGCCTGCAATGCATTGATTCAAGCAGAGCCAGAAATCACAAAGTACGACACGATTGCTGGAGATGGCGATGCAGGCCAAACGCTAAAGTCGGCAAGTCTTGCTGTTCAGGAAGCCGTCAAGAATGACAAAATTTCGTTGACCAATGCTGTTGATGTGTTTGGTGACATTGCTGGCGTGCTTGAGGAGAGTATGGGCGGTACTGGTGGTGCATTGTACACCATCTTCTTTGCTGCCCTCGCTGCTGCCCTTGCGTCATCAAAGACGTTGGACAGCGCGACCATGGCAAATGCAATTACTGCTGCACTTGAGCGTCTGCAGACCTATACCACCGCCACTATTGGCGACAAGACCATGATGGATGCCTTGATCCCATTTGCTGAAACGCTGAGCAAGACTGCGAGCTTTGACAAAGCAGTGTCTGCGTGTGAGCAAGGCGCATTGAGCACAAAGGGCATGGCGGCTGGGCTCGGCCGTGCGTCCTATGTTGAAGCGAGTGAGAGCCAGTCAGTTCCTGATGCCGGCGCGATGGGCATTGCCAAGTTGGTGCGTGGTCTTCAGAGTGCATTAGCGTAGGATACAAGTTTCGCCATATCTTCGAGGATCTAGCAATTTGACATCTGCAGACTTGGCCTTGCCTTCAAAGATAATTTCACTCATGACTTTGCCTGTGCCCGGACCAAGACAGATGCCCCAGCAGGAGTGTCCGGAAGCCACATAAACGCCTTGTTGCAGTTTGCCTACAAGAGGTGTTGGCGAAGTTGGCAGATAGCACGCTTGCTGGACGCCAATCTCTGCATCACGAAAGAAGGGAGACAGTGCATCGGCGTACTGCTTGAGAGCACCACAGCGCGCCATGTCGACTTGGACGTCGCTTGCCTTGTCTGGCAATGGAACATCTTCATCACCCTCGCCACAAATGTAAATCTCATCTTGGCGCGCGTAAAACTCTGGGTTGACGTTGGAACCGTCTGCTAAGCGCATATCTGTGAAGAGAGCATGTGGTGTGACGGGCTTTGGAGTCAAGACTGTGATGCTGTGTGCGCGAACAGAGGTAATGGGTACGTTGAGCAGGCGTTCAGTCCATGGACCTGCGCAAACAATAATGCAGTCAGAGCTCATATCCTCGAGCACGCCAGGCGAAGTTTCAACGGTTGCGACACCGGGATTGACTGCTACGACTTTGGCGACAATCAAGTTGACCCCTTTCGCCTCGCTCAGCAAGCCGCGACAAAACTTGCGAGGATGGACTTGCGCGGTTGAATCGGTCGTGCCCAGTACATTCACCTTCTCAACAATACTCTGATCAAGCCAATCAATCTCTTGTTTCAATTTGACGCCTGCTTTACCCTTGGGTGACGTGCGCACAGAGAGCGTGTCAAGCTTACGATATCCCCACCGATCGGGATATTCTTGCGCCAGAGATTCGTGCAGACGATAGCTGAGTGCAGCAAGCGGACTCGTTTCCTTCTCATGCCAGTCCATGGCCAGAAGGCCCCCTGCTTTGCCTGAGGCAGCAGCCGCCACCCCGGTGCTATCGATGAGGGTGATTGGTTGGCCTGTGTAGGACGGGTGCTTTGTAAGATAGTAGGCTGTCGAGACGCCAATGATACCGGCACCAACAATAACAATATGCTTTGGGTCCACAGCCATGGCGGAAAGACGCCTTGTAGACCTCGAGAGGGCTTGTCAAAGGCGAGAGGCGGCGACAAGAGCTGCTTAACGTCTATCGGGCCGGAATCAATTTTTTGGTATTGCATATATATGTTAGCTAGCATTTTCAGTTTCGTAAAGCGTTGATGGTCTAGTGGTTATGATTGGCCCTTGCCATGGGCTAGAGCGGGGTTCGATTCCCCGTCAACGCAATCTTTTTTTCGCATTTCATTTCGTATATAGTATGGGCTACAGCCTACAGGAGCATATACTTGCACGACAGCATCTCATTTGTCTACTCCCTTGATCTCAAACCCAGCAGTCACTCAGGTATGCCACCTTCCTCGCAAAAGCGCCGCTCAAATTGACAACCCATCTGAGTTGACGCTTCCGCTTCTAGGTGGTCTTCGCATCAACCTCAGCTGCAGACCACTTTAGCCCATTGTAGAGTCTACACAGTCTCAGCAACATACATGCTAGCTTGGCACACAGATATCGTGCATCGAGGAACTCCGTAGTTCAGCATAAGTCTCTGAATTTGTTACGTGGCTCAAGCCCGCATACGGCAACGCTGTGCTTACAAGACAAGCTGCAGCTCACTGCTGTACATGAGCCTCTGATTAAGGCCTGAGCCATGCTCTCACGGCGTCTTCTGACTTGAATATGGATCATCGCTCCAGCTGCGGTCGATTCTGAACCATTGCTTTATTGCGTTTGTTCGAGCATCAACCCTTACATACATACCCTTGACATGCCTTATAAAAGCAAATGGATCGAATCAGCAGTTTGATGTTAAGTCTAGACTCCCGAGGTTTTCAATAAGTCTCTGTGCTTCAGAGAGTCGCCTTCGGCCTATATACATCCAAGGTGCCAGCACTAGGCATTTTAGGGCCCGGGGCTACTTGGCCGCTATCTAAGGACGATTTCTCCTCTATTGTGCTCTCAGTCCTAGTGAGATATCTCCAAACACGATCAACGGCTCAAGAATTGCTTCATTTGCTAGAGAGGCGAGGAGATGTTGGCGATTCGACAGATATGGTTGGTTCCTTGGCGCCTCATCAAAACCATCTCTTGGGCTCTTTTACTCGGACCGACGGAGGCAGTGGCGACACAATGGGACTATCTTCTTTATCGATTGCCAGAGATATCTCCAGAGCAGTTCCCACCCTCTCAGCTGTGGATCGGGTTCGCGGACACTGTCTGAGTGTCAGTCAAAATGCTAGACCTAGACATAGGAGGCAAGCATTGCGATTGCACCTCCTCTTATTAGACACCGTTGCAACAAGCAATATGATGTAGAAGGCTCGGCCCAAGCAGGTAGGCTTGTTGAAGCACTTACAAGTCCAGGCTAATTCCTGAGTCCTAGCTCAAGAACAATTTGAGTCCAGACAAACTGCCTAATATGCACTCTTCATTTACGGGCTATCAGGTTCATATAATGCCGTCATAACAGCTTTGCGTCGAGTCTTGTACGATTGCATGCGCACTAGATGCAAAGCAATTCGTTTCCTCCAATGCTCCAGCAGCTTCTCAGAAGATTCAGCTCGACTTTCGCTAATTCCACGTCTAAGCCGGATAGCATCGTCGCCTCCTTCCTTGACATCTTGAGCCAGCCGCCGTGTGATCTGATTATGCGTTGCAGACAAGAGCCGCCGAGTCTTGCTCAAGACTGATCGTATGATATGACGCGTCTGGGCTGTTTTCGACTTGTACGGTGGCAAGTGGCCAGCTTCAATGGTCGCAAGCATCTCTTCAAGCACGTCAAGCGCCTTGTTTGTGTTTTCTTGTTGAAGCTCTGAATTGATGAGCACCGAATAGATGCTCTGATCTGGCTGTACCCCAAAAGCACTCCGAGCGACGTCAAAAATACGTCGCACTTGTTGACGATCTGTGAAGCCACCAGTGATGGTTGAATCTGCCAATGCGAGCTGCATGAGGTTGGCCGTGACGCGTGTTGTGACTTGAGTATCGTAGACTTTCCTGAATTGCGCAATATACTCGAGCGCAAGGCCGGTCTGATGGTGGATTCCCAAAGCAGAGACGACTGCCAATAATGTCTTGTGAGAGGGGAAGAGACTGGAGTTCGCATCGTATTTTGGTTCCGGGAGTGATGTGTCAGTCCTATTGTAGTCGTCGAGTCCTTCTTCGTCGTGTTCGTCAGCGACACCTTCAATCTCTGCCATTTGCCAATTACGAGCATCATCGGAGACATACAAACCCCAAGTCTGCTTGATGATAGACCGCAATGCATTCAAGTTCCCAGCACGGCCAAGTGCTAGAATGAGTAATTCAATGGTGTGTGCATTCGGCTGTACGCCACGCTTGACCATCTCTTGGTACAAGATGACGGCTTTCCGAGAAGCATCGTCTGCAGAAGCCTGATACGCCTTGTACGCCTCGACACGTGCAGTATTATCGTTTCGCTTCTTCAACCGAAATTTATCAAAGATCCGACGAGGCACTGCAATGGTAGCAATGTAGGAATTGTAGCAGCTACTATCAGGCACAATACCAGCAGTAGACATTGCATCCCAAGTCTGAGTGGCCAAGTTCCGATCCTTGAGAAATCGGGCATGCTCAAGAACGAGAAAGTAACTCTCGCGTGACCAGCTGATGTTGGCGGTGCGCATGAGTCGCAGAATGAAACGTTGGCGAGAAACATAGGCAGCCATGTTTGTTGTCTTGAGCAGCTTCTCTGCCCCTTCAAAGTTCTCCTTGAATTCATCTTCATGCCATGCCTTGGATCCCTGAATGAGCAGTTTGGGTCGATTGAGCCGCATACCCGCCACGAAATGAAGCTCCCGCAAGGCATATAACTTGCCCTGTGTCTCAAACTGTCTGAGAAGGCGTAGGTAGCCTTGAACATTACGCGCATCCATCAAGGTTTTGAGCTCGCGAAGCAAGTTTTTTGTTTCGTCCAAGGAAGCCGTGTCGCTGTCCGTCGTCGCACCTGCAAACCAGTCCTCGCGCATTGATGGGTATTTCAGCATCGATCTATTCCGCGGTAGCCGTTGCTCCATCAAGGCCAGTGAGTTGGCTGCAGCACCCGCAGCATCTGTGTGAAGTGCAGTCCTTTGTGGTATGGGTCTCGCGGCCCTGATGGCACGAATAGGGCGGACTTTCGTCCCTGCAAGCAGGCATCGCAAACATATCATGATCTCTGCTCCATACACATCCTAGTACGTCCTGGGCCTTCAATAAGGATAGTTGATTGAGCGTGTTTCTGAATTGTTTCTTGAAAATAGATGGAGGGCGTGGGAATATCCAACCACAGCGAACTCAACAAGCTCAGCAAAGGCGACTTCTTTCTTGACCTACATCTGCTCTTCTCTGCTCATCTGATAGCTGCTATTTGCTCAATTAGATGACCGATGCTGAACCTTCTGACTTGACAAACCATTTGCGTCCATGTAATCGTTGCTATGCTCGCTCTATTGCTTAGCTGACAATGCCAGTGGAAGACTCTGTCCTAACAATCCGTGTCATCAAGTCCTTTCCTTATAGAATCACTAAGAACCTTGTCCTGCAGCATGTCAATCTCAGTACGACAACGGTTGCCCAACTGAAAGATCTGTCCAAGGAGGAAATCAACACAAAGCCAGGCTGGAAAGTATACAAGCACGTCAAGCTGGACACGCTTAAGCTATATACTAAAGCTCATGGCAGCAAGACGACCAATCTCATCATCAATCTCGATCATGATGACTGGATCCTTGACGATGGCGACGCTACGCTTGCCTCGCTTGGCATCGGTACATCTCATTACTGCTTCGTTCCTCACTAACAATAGAAAACGAAACGGAGATTTCCTTTTTCAACAGAGATGACTATGAAGCATTCAAAGCAGATCCTACAGAGAAATGGGTATAAGATTTTGATCGGCCTTATGTATGTCGGCCTTGATTGAGTTGATGAAGTCGATGATTCTGACCCGGCAACGGCGGCGCAAGATGATCGTGCGGTGATGACGCTGAAGGTCCCGCTGAAGTGCTGCCTTGCATCATGAACGGATTTGGTGTGTGCCCTCGACCAATAATGGTGTGCATTGTCGATAGATCCTCATTGGACGCGCTCGGCTTGGTTTGATCGTAGGACGGTAGGGAATTGGGCGGGATGTCATGGTACATGGGTGGAATTTCATTATCCCATGAGATGCCCAGTCCAGAGCGTTCCGTCATGACAATTGGGAACTGCATGCGAAGGACACGCGCGCTGCCAGAAGGAAGAGATTCGACAAAATTGCCATTCTTCCCAGCAATCATGACTTCAAACACAACAGCTTCAATGACCAGCGCATGGCTGACTGTCACACCAGAGCCGCTATTGTCTTCCGCTGTATCTTCAACGTCGCAGCACGGCTTTGCAGCGATGTGCGTGGAGAACTCAATCTCCATTTCGATGCGGCCGCCTTCATGTGCGCTCCAGTCAGACTTCCAACCTTCCTTTATATCTCCAGCACCCACAGTACGCGTGTCTGTATACTCCATTCCGCCTTTACCCTCAGAGCCAGGTATGCGCTGCAAGTGAATCTTGCAAGCAGGAGAAATGACTTTTGCAATCTCATCAATACGCCAGCTGATCTTTTTGAGTTTCCACCGAGCCATCTCTTTTGTTTGTACACCCGTAAAAGACAGGGTACCCATAAAGTGAGAACCAGGATTACAAACCTTGGGAATGACGAGTACAGCATTCAGACTCGTTGGTGGAAAGACACGCTGTGAGGTTTTGTCAGTGCCTGGCAAGATGCTGCGTGAGAGTTTGAGTGGCCGATTCGCTACCATGGCCTTGTACTGATCAACGCGCGGGAAGATAGTTGCAATCAGCTCGTATTCAATGGTTGCGAGCGCAGAAGACGTCGTTGCCGGGAGAGCACCGTCAAATAAGTAAGAAAATGGATAGAGATGGGTTCCACGCTGTAGCTGCAAGCTCTTTTCAAAGAAATTCCACTTTTTCATGGTTGATGTGCGTGAGCGACATGCTTTGCAGTTGGGATGAATTGGACGACGCGTAGAGATGGTTGCAACGAGCTCCATGGAGACTTGCGTCAATTCGAGAACATCTGCCATGATGGTGATTTTCAAATTGCCAGACATGAGGGCGCCTGAAGACTCGCTGGCGGGCCCGAAGCATACAAGCGGTGGCGACTCAAATGCGAGATCTGGAGGTCAGTATGGAATGATTGAGAGCAGCAAGCGTGACTGACCGACAGCAAGATCCTGGCAAGTGGGGAGCGCTTCGTGTTTTGCGTTACTCGATTTTCGCCGCAAGTTGAGCTTCTCTGTATGCGTCCGAGAAAGGCCTGGCGCCATGATCGCAGCGTATACTCAAGCACGAAGGGCTGCAAAAGCTATGCAACTCGATAGTGTCTCGAAGACTTCAGTGGCCGCACTGCGAGACGCGCCTTTCCAATCTTAAGGACACAATATTATTGAACAGATGGGCAAGGCGACGCTAGTGCAAGTGCTGCAGTCCTCGCTGCCAGCCTGGCAATGGAACAGATGGCGGTGATGTATCGTGTTGAGTGGGCCCTTTCTCTGCTGCAGTTTGCATTTTTCAACGGACAAAGCCGACGACACCCTCGACCAACTGCTACCAGATGCAAAAATACCGCAACGACTACAGTGAGTACTACTGCTGCTGCTGCTATATGGCCGAAAGATTACACTTATTAGTAACGCTACTTTGAAATCGGAGACATGCTCAGTCCTTTGTCTCTTTGCTTGAATGTGTGCTCAGCTGCTCCGTGAACCGAGAAGTCGAGCCTCCTCCTCTCTCGCTCGTGGAAGGTCCTGTAGCTGCTGTAGGCACTGGCTGCTGTGCTGTGGAAATGGCAGGACTACTCTCTGCCGAACATGAATGATCTCCTGAGGAAGGTTCTGTCCTGATACTTCCGTGCTGAGAGGAACTTGTTCTCGCTGGCAATGATACTTGCTGCAGACCAGATGGACGTGGCCGAAGTTGAAACCGACGAAGGCCACTGTTGCTTAGAATACCGATACTTGAAGGAACGCGTGTACTGCCGCCCATGGAGGATGCTTCTCCAACGGTCTCTGACAAAACAGAGTCTCGGACCGTGCTGGCCAATGCTAATGCCTCGTCTGATGGATGTGCCTCAAAGCCAGTATTGTCGATGCTCGACAGAGATGTCCTTCTCGTTGAATTCGAGACGGACGAACTTGGTCGAGAGTCACGTATCTCGTCAAATTCAGCTGCACAAACGCACACAAGAGGAAAGACTTTGGATGGCGCGATATCAGCCGTTTTCTCCAAGTCTTCCGAGACGGGATCATCAACATTTCGGATCAGTCGTCCTTTTGCCCATCGATCTGCATACAGTGCTTCAATGCGAATCAGATCATTCACGCGCAACGGCAGTTCATCATGCAGCGCCGGCTCATATGACCGAAGACAGCGTACCAATGATCCTGGTTTCAGCTGCACACCAGACCACTGATCCAGCAAGACCAGTGAGTCATCCGATGAATCTCTCGCGAGTTCTTCCTCCGGCTCTGCCTGCACTGCTTTATCCTTGAAGCCGCCGCCATAAAACCCACTGAGTCGATGTTGCTCGCTATCATTGGATGGCGTCTTGGGAGGAAAGATTGGACCCACAGGTGACATGGCACTTCCAAATGATGGTGCAGAAAAAGCACTACCAGCTGTTGGGAGCGGTAAGGTCGGGCTGCGTATCACAATTCTCTTTTCACCGCTTGCACTCTCATTGCCACGAGAATCTAGTGCATTCAATGTTCGCATGCGATCGGCTCTAGACGCAAACCGTTGTCTTCTTCGCAGAAACAGCCAGATGCTCAGTATAATGGCAAGGACTGCAAGAACAGATGGGACAATGATACCTGCGAGTGCACCTGCGCTCAGTCTATCATCATGCTCAAGACGTACAACTGCAGTGGGTGTCGGTAAAGGCACGCCAGTCGGCAACCCTATACTGACAATCACCTGTGAGATGTTTCCTGTTGAATCGCCATCTGTGAAGTATGGTGCGCAGAAGCTTGCATTGGCCTGCGTACAACAGCCCTCAACGCTACTTCCAGTCCCATTCGACTGTCTCTGCAACCGTGCACAGTACCGACAATAAGCGGCACTGTTGTCTTCAAATCCACATGATTTATCTTGCGTTGCACCGTCCACACAACGTTGCTGTGCATACGCATCTCCTGGTGTCGTACACAACGCATACTCCTGGCGCAATGAATCAAGATTCTTGTCAGTGAGGTTTGACCTGCCACACACTGGACTTTGCAGGATGTCCGCAATTGAGAGCGCATACGCAAGACATGTTTCTGCACAGGCAGTTTGAGCAGTGGCACCCGGACCACGACACAATTGAGCGGATTGTTGAACGAGTGACGCACACCAAATGGTCTTGCTGTATCGGATCTGCAAGGCGTTACGAGTCCGTTTGTCTTGCAAGGTGAATGATGTCCCTGTGGACCGATTGCATCCATATTGCTCCTTCATCTTGGATTGCAGAAACCCATCTGCTAGGTAGTCATTGACTGTTGTGTCAAAGTCCTGGACTGTACGGACATTCGCAAGAAATGGAAACGCAGAAAGGTCGCTACTAATGGAATCCTCTTGGAACGCGGGGCATGTCGTGGATCCATTGAGGGAGATACAGCTTGCTTGTTGCGTTTGTGCAGCGACGTGAGGATGTTGCGCGACATGAAGCAGTAGGATGACAAGACGCATGAGTACCTGGAGGTGTCCAGCTGATGCATGGATGCAAGTGCGTCCTGCTTGTGCCTTTGAGCGTCGACATGCTCTATGTCGTGGCATACGCCTATATGGACTGATAGCACGAGCTGACCTTCTCGTCTTCTATCTCTCTCTGCTTGGTCGGACTGTAGACGCAGGCGCCAAGTCTGCCTGAGTCTTTCTTTAGATGTCGACAACAGGAGAGAACAGCAGATGTAGCGGTATCCTGGATGACTTTGATCAAGACGTCTCGTCAGGGGTCATCCACATCCAAGACAACCAGCTCGGATATCGCTTGCTTCGACAGTACACGTGGCGGTGCTCGTGTACAGACAAAGTCGATGATCAGGGAGAGCTCGTTATCTACACTACTTGTTTGTCTGTACTCGACAAAGACTCTGCACTGTAGATGTCCTTCGACAGATGAGTGCATGGACAGTGGATACGGAGACAAGGTCGCTGATCATTGTTTGTCCAACAAACCTCGCATCATTATGCCAAATGTCTGCCTGCCAGCGTCTCAGCGTCTCGTTCAACCAGTCTGCGGTCTACATAGAGAGCTGACAACACTTTCAGGACCGCAAAGCGTCTTGCCTGTGTTCTTGAGCCAACTTCCGCACCGAAAGGAGATTCAGCTGCTACAGTGTCTCTAGAGCAAGTCAATCTTGAGCTCAAGCTACAGCTGCGTCTGCTCTGACGACAATCAACGCTGAGTCTGAAAGTCTGTTCATCAAAGCACCACGACATCATCCCTCTCGCTAGCATACACGATGGTGAGATTTGACAGGTAAGCTCATCGATTGTGCATAACCATTTGTTGAAACAGAGAGCTGAGGCTTTGAACTCAAGTACATTGAGCTACAAGACTTGAATGACCCCATATCTCAGCTGAGCTCCCAGACAGAGCTACCAGACACAGGACATCGTCTAAACGATGTTGTAAGCGACTGTATCGTCCATGGTCTATGTTAAGCAAGAAGTCCGGACTCGCGATACATGAATATAACCAAATACTGGACGAGTGGACCACACAGTATGTAGAAGCATGACACAGACGATGTCCCGTTCGGTATCTCTCTCAAGATTTCAGCTGAGATACATGATTAGAATGGTTACATTGATAGTAATACATGATTCTATTAGTATACAGAACAGTCGCGACCGAATGTGTATGTGTCAAGCTTTACGGCCTATGCGCTGGCTGCGTCGAGTCAGCGGCATGTCAGGCTCCATAACCGCCGGCAAGACGACCAGCGGCGGCACAATCGGCGCAATATACACTGCTGGTGATGCGGATGCAATATTTTTACAAGCCTCAATGGCCGACTCGAAGCTTGGCGGCGCAGCCATGGGAGGTGACCTGCACGGCATTTGCTTCTTTGCAAGTGGTGAGTTGATGAGATACTCGATCCGCATTTCCGCACTGGATCGTTTCTTAGAAGGTGTCGGCAGTTGCCCATTCGCACAAGTACTCTGTGAGAATTGTTCAAGCAGGAAAGGCTCTTCATTCTCTTTATCGCTTTCTTCACATTGACCTTGACTGGATGCGTTGAAACGGGAAGCGATAGATGAAGGGCACTGAAAGGCTTCTTCTTGACTCGGCGGCGGTGTCGAGCACTGCAAGATTGGAACGGATCGGGTCAGGTAGCTCGCTGTAGGTCTCGCATGCATCAACCACGGAACAGCTGTCCGGCTCAGCTGACGTGCAGCATACGCTGCTTCTTGCGCTTGAATCTCTTCCTCATCCAGACTTGGTGCTGTTGACAAGGAAGAGAGGGTTGAGCGCCTGCTATCACTGCTGTAGGAACGTTCCATGATGCATGGCATTGCAGAGTCTTCACGTTGTGAGAGACGATTGAAATCGAGTTCTGTGGGCGTTTGCTCGGATGCTGGCGGTGTCGGGTAGTCTTGCACCACGGGCAACGTCGCATGAGGTTGGCTTGCAGAAGCAGCAGCAGACTTCTTCTTGGCATGCTTGGTCGCACATCCCATCCTCTTGCCATGCTTGACTTTTGGTACTTTGTCCAATGTCGATTGGTGCTTGAAGAAGGCCGGCCGTTGCTGTTTGAGGAGCTGCACGAAATCGTCTGTTGCCCCTTCAATGTACGTATCAATGACACCTTGCCATTCAGAGGCATTCGGTTGTGTCAAGTTGACAAAAATCACATTTCCACCAGCTGCATGGACTTCTTTTGCAAAATCCTTGATGAGTCGCTTCAAGCCTGCGATTTTGAGGGATGTACCAGCGATGATTAAGCAATCGGGTTTTCTGCGTGCATCACTCGCACACGCCTTGGCAATCGCTTCACCGTGCGGATGTGCTTCGCCATAGAGTACAACATCTGGACGCAAGGTGCCCACTGAAATGGCGCGTTTACCCAGTGATGATCGAATACTCGCCTTTTCAAGACAATGCGCACATGACGGCGCTTCGCCTCCTCTTAATAGTTGTTCGTATTCCGGTGTGTACTCTGCGCGTCTACCACAAAGGAAGCATTTGAGGATATGCACATTGCCGTGTAGTTGGATTACATCATTTTTGTTGATTGGCGCATCGTGCATACTGAGCACACCCGTACGTCCCTCAAGTCCATCGATATTCTGCGTATAGGCTCGTAACAAGGTGCCATTGTGTTTGAGCGTCTCGAGGAACTTGTGTGTAAGTGTAGGCTTTGCACGTTGCGTGGATTGTCGCAACTCTGCCATGAACTTGTAGAACTGACTTGTTGTTTCGTCGCTATTGAATAGAGAGATGTCAAAGAGATCCTTGCCGCGTGTTTGTGAGGTAGGCCCATTGCCACCGCGTGTATGGCGAGTCTGGTAGAGTCCATGCAGGCTGCGGAAGTCTGGGATGCCTTGGTTTTGGTTAGCTTATTGACTGTTTCACTGAAAGAAGATTTGACGGACCTGCGCTACATGAGATGCCTGCGCCAGAAACAAAGAGGACGCGCTTTGCAGCGACGACTTGGTCTACGACTGCGATGAGCTGTTGCTTGTGCAGGCGCTCGTCGAATTGCAGTTTTATGGTCATGGCTTGTTGTTGTTAATTGTTGGGTGTTGGCGGGCGGCCCTTGTACTTGGATGGATAGAGACAGTGAGGTTTTCGTCGTGAGTAGCCTTGACACGCCCTGCTAGTGTCGCGCAGACGCGTTCGAGGAGGTTGTAGGAGGTGCGGCCTCCTTGCGTGGTTGGTTGGTTGTCGCTGGTTTTTTGTTTTCATGCGAGGAGACGAGACGCAACGAGAGAGCGGCAGGGGGGAATATTGATGGAGATGGTCGCTGTGGGTGGTATGGATGAGATACAGGCTAGGGATGCTGGGCAGAGGCAGTATGGACATGGAGATCAGCTACTACGGACGATGCTAAAGAAGGCCAGAGCAGAGACCAGACAGCCAGCGGAGATATCGATATTAGTCACTAGTAGGGACGAGACAGCTACAGACAGCAGTAGCAGAGCCTAGTCATGCAGAGCACTCACCAGCCCAGTGCCCACAGTCTTGCCGCCCTCTCTGATCGTAAACCGGCTTCCCTTCTCAATCGCCATAGGGTGCACCAGCTCACAGTCCAAGTCGACATTGTCACCCGGCATAATCAGCTCGCCCTCCGGTGATCCTGCCTTGCGTGTCAGCACAATCGTCACATCGGCAGTGCGGATAAACATCTGCGGCCGGTAGTGGTCTGCAAAGCCTGTACGCCGACCACCTTCATCCTTGGTCAAGATGTAGAAGCTCGCAGAGAACTTCTTGTGTGCCTTGACTGTACCCGGTTGTGCAATGACCATGCCGCGACGGACTTGTTCACGCTTGATGCCACGCAGCAACAGACCACAGTTGTCGCCTGCAGTTGCAGCATCCAATTCCTTCTTGAAGGCCTCGACACCGGTGATGGTCGTTCGGATGGGTGCACCATACCCGACAATCTCAACATCAGCGCCCTTCTTGAGTGATCCACGTTCAACACGGCCCGTAACAACCGTACCACGTCCGGAAATCGAAAACGTATCCTCACACGGCATCAAGAATGGTTTGTCGAGCTCTCGCTTGGGTTGAGGAATATGCTCATCCACGGCATCCATGAGCTTTGCAATCGCCTCGGCACCAATCTTGGCATCTCGACCTTCCAATGCAGCAAGCGCAGAACCCATGATGATGGGTGTAGCATCACCATCATACCCATAGGTGCCCAGCAACTCACGCATCTCCATTTCAACAAGTTCCAGCATCTCCTCATCATCCACCGCATCGACTTTATTGATAAACACCACAAGGTTGGTCACACCCACCTGTTTCGCAAGCAACAAGTGTTCACGCGTCTGTGGCATCTGTCCATCCGTAGCACTCACGACAATGATGGCACCATCCATCTGCGACGCACCGGTAATCATATTCTTGATGTAATCCGCATGCCCAGGACAATCCACATGGGAGTAGTGTCGCTTATCTGTTGAATACTCAACATGCGCCGTTGCAATGGTAATACCACGCGCCTTCTCCTCGGGAGCCTTGTCGATTTGGTTGTAGTCCATAAAACTCGCACCACCTTTTGCAGCAAGGACTTTTGTGATGGCTGCCGTGAGGGTTGTTTTACCGTGGTCAACATGGCCAATCGTACCAATCTACAGTCGTTAGCCTTTGTTGGAGAGAGGAAGTCAAGCAGCGTACGTTGAGATGAGGCTTAGAGCGATCAAACGTAGCGTACGTCCGGGATCCAGCTATACGTGCACAACCAAATGTCACTGCCCCTCGTCAGCATTCATATTCTATAGTCGATACCTGACAGCATACCTGGCTTGGAGGCCTGTGCCAGCTGGCGAACAAGGCCCAAGACTGACCTCGACATGATGTTCTCTTGCTGGATGTCCTTTGCTTCAAGTTTTCGCCGTATGAAAAAAGTTCAAAACGGCTTATGTCAGCGACTTGCGCCGTGTTGCAGGTGAAGTTCCGTGTGTAGTACTGGATATTCATGATGTGCTATGCTAGGGAGGGCTATGGGAGGGTCGTGACGGACTAGAAGGCGTCGACATACACTCTGACCAAAAGAACCCATTCGAAATGCTAGAAGAGAAAGAAACAGAACTTGCGATGCGGTCGTCATAAAAGCAGAAGGAAGGCTCAATCAAGGCCTGGGTGGGAATGCTGCATACGGCTGCTGCATCTGACCTTGCCAGCCATGTGGGAAGCCATGACTTGGTGGTGTCTGCTGAGGCAAGACACCACGCCCGACTTGACCGTGTGGTTGCATCCCAGCGCCCAAGGTATGATATACCAATTGCTGTGGTGGAACTTGTCCAGCTGTCGCCCACTGTTGCTGTTGTGGTACAAGTCTGCCCATTTGTACAGCAGGAAGGGGTCGTACGAGTCGTTGAACTTGATAAACAGGTCCATACGGTGAATGCCGATGTTGCATGGCCATCGTTGTTGGTGTTGCAGTACCGCTTGCGTGACCCGTGCCACCAGTTGGACCATGATGAAACGCTGCAGAGTCCAAGGAGAAGCGAGATGCACTGCTGCCGGTTGGTGAGGTTGTCGTTCCTGCATGACCGGATCCAGTCCGACTATATTGCATAGGTGAGAGACGACCGGTATTGTACCCAGCGAGATGAAGTGGTGGCAAAGATAACTGCTTCCCGCTGGTCGACAAGGCACGCGGTACACCTCGCAAAAGTTGTTGTTGTTGCTGTGGTGGCTGTTGCTGTTGCACGGGCACCATCAGAGACTGCTGACGACGGTGTGGTGAGCGTTCTTGCATCTTCGAGCGAGTCGTCATGGCAAACGTCCGTCTCGGTGTTGTTGGCAATGAAATGACTTTTGCAGGCGGTAGCATCACTGTAAAGTCTTCCTCAAAACTGCGTTTCCGAGCACCAGGCTGAGTTTGCAATGGCGTGAGAAGGGATGGATGCAGTAAGCCGGCTTGTGAGAACTCATAGAGCATGGGTGGTGAAGGCAAACCAACAAGACCTGTGCCCGTATGCAGACTTTGCTGACGTTGCTGATACTGCACGAAAGCGTTGATCTTGACGAGCCACTCTTGCCACGCATCTACCGTCACGAGCAAACTGTACCGCATATTGGACAAGAACTCCACCTCCATAAGGTGAATCTCCTTGACGTTGATTTGCGTCACTTCCGACCAGGTCTTGTTGGTGTAGGTGTTGTCATCGAGATACTTATTGCCCAGCATCAATGCTACCGTCAGCAAGCGGAACTCACTTCCGGCTTTCCCTTTGACGCCTGGATTGGCGAGCTTGAGGCGGAAAATGTAGAGCATTGCAAGAATCACAACATTGGTGGAGACTTGTGTCGTGTGCAGTACATTCTTGGTCCACTTGATGAATTCCGGTTTCGCAAAACTGTCTGGTGATGGGATACGTGTATTGGTGAAGCCAATCGTCGCTGCTTCATTGAGTGTTGGGAGTGATTCGAACCAGAGAAAGCACACAGTCTATACATCAGTTAGCCAACACATCTGAAATTGAGAAGAACATACCTGCGCGCACAATTCGGCCACTGTCGCGTCTGGATTCGCAGAGGCGGAATAGGCGTCCATCATCTTGCGCTTGACCGGGAAGGAGAGCCCGTCGTCTGCACTATATGGTGGGGTTGATAGGCCAAATCGATGCATCCTGTAGCTTCAATAGCAGGGCGCTCTCAAGCAAGAAGACTCAGCAGATGCAAACGTAGACTAGAGGCCCACAATGCAGTGCTGAGGAAGTTCTCTTTGGAAAAGAAGAGAAAAGAGTCCCTGGAGACCCTTGATAAGGAAAAATGTACCTGACTGGTAGAATGCGAAGCGAAAACCAGCCCGGGCAACAAAATGGACGTGTCTGCTGAGTGACGCGAGTTGGTTGAACTTGTGCTGCGGACCTGCGGCGTTCCGTCGTATCGAGTCGCTTGATTTCTCTCAAAGAAGGAGGTGCTGGGATCTCAATGTGGCAATCCACGAGTGATGAGCCGCAGCCTTGCTGATGCACGAGGCGGCAAAAGTCGCGAGATGAGACCTTTCGCAAAGCAAACCTGCAAGAGATGACAGGGAGAAGATCTCCTATTTGTCACAAAGGGTCGCCTGGAACCACGCTTTGTGCTGCGACGTCAAATAACAAAAAAAAAAGGGTGTTGACCTGCTGCTGGTGACGTGCTCGGCCGGAATTGACTCTGTGTGCTCGTCTCGGATCAGGCGGAGAGAAGGGGAGCAATCACCACAAGGTCGTGACTCGTGTGTGCGCGTGCGCGCTGTCTTGTGTCGTGTCGCGAAGTAAGAGGTCGTGCGCACCAGCACAGGCAGATCTTCAAGCTGCAGCAAGAGGTCCAGGCCACGACTGAAACGCAGGGAGAACAGGTCAAACGTTACCCGCGTGTATTGACAAACAAAAAACCAGCTGCTGCACGTCGCACCTGATGCGATGCTTGGAGCTCAATTTGCGTCGCGCTTTTTCTCGGTGAAGAGACAATCAGGGATGGCCGATCTGATTGTTTAGTGAGGGTCTGTGTATGGAGCCTAGCTGCAGGGAGGAGGAGGATGAAGATGAGAGAGAGAGAAAGCGAAGGTGACAAGGGTGTGAGCAAGCTAAGGTCGCAAGAGCAGGGAGTGGGCCTGTCTCTATTTTAACCAGACCGAGCCAAGCGGGAAGAGATATTTATTGCCAGCGTGTCATCGGTTGTATGAGATTGAGCAGCAGAGCAGAGGCCCGCACGAGGAGCTTCAGGTGTGCAGTGCGATGGTGCCGCCCGCTCTGCCCAAGCTTTTTTCCTCTCTCATGAAGCATCTCATCATATTCGATGATCGGGGTTGAGGAGGGAAGCGGAGCGTGCATCTGTGTGTGTCTGCCTGGCTGTGCATTCATGTGCGCAAAGGGACAATCTCAAAGAGCCAAGCCGAAGCATGCGGCGGTGGTAGCTCGAAACAGGAAGCCAGTCTGGACCAGGGCTATGTTCCAATTTGCAACGAGGGCTCCCTTGCAGGCTCGCACTCGGCAGCCTCACACGATCCATGGACGCGCATAGGTTGCATCATGATTCGTGATCAGTCAAGTGGCTGCAACAGGCAACTGCTCAGACACATCCCTTAGCGAAATGCCATGATGCCCGCAGTGACTGCGGCTTTTATGCCTAGAACCAGGGCTACTTGCCGTACTCGGCAGCGAGACTGGCAGACGGAGCAACGGGAGAGGCGCTTCCCATCCAAAATTTGAGCTCCCAAAAGTATTATCGACGTCCGCGCGCCGCGTGTGGAGACTTCCGACCAGCCTGGCCTGCTTTCTTTGCACCCTCGTTCGATTCGTCATACTGGGCGATGGGCATTGGGCATGAACGAGCACCGTGTTCGGTTTAGGCAAGTATGGAGCGACTCACACAAAAGGGCGGAACAAGATTGAATGCATGTGGGAAGTCATACTCATAGAGGGCGAGAGACAAGGACGAGCCTATGATTCATGTTTGCGCGCATGGAGGCCATTTGTGTTTCGCTTGGCATGCGCGCGCAGGGTCAGACACTCCAGCGAGTCGGAGTCGGAGAGATGCAAAGTGTCAGAGACTCAAAGGCAGAGCTCCGAGCTGACAACCAGACAGCCAAGCCAAATCTCTTCAGCACTGAATCAGCAGTTACCGTCGCTGCGGATCGTCTCTTTCTCCTCCATCCATCAAGCGGATTCAAGCCACCCGAATTTCAGACCGTTCCGCACGGCCAATTGTAGAGCTGCCTTTTACTGCTTTCATCGTAAGATTCGCAACGCCTTAGCGCCTAAACGCGTAGGACTATCTATGAAAGAATGAGCTCATGATCACAGACTCACAGTCCATCAAACATGTCACTTGTGTCGATTCCGGGACGAAGCTGTCGATGCAACGGATGACTCTTGCGAGCACGGGCCTTGGCTCTGCGACTTGACTGTACTGGTCTCGCTTGCACCGAGTTCCTGCATCGCCAGAGCAAGTGACACATCACGCACGTTGCAACTTGCAACTTGCTACAGCTTACAAGTTACAGCTAGTAGTGTCAAGCTGTCAGTTACTGGGCTATCTGTGACAGCCACCGTCACAAGCAAAATGTCCGCGTCGTTTGCAAGCATCGTCATTTACGATCTTCATAGTCAAGAACAAGGAGTCGTTCGTATAATGAAATTTTTAATGAAAGGGCAGCTGGGTTCGGCGCGGCATCTTTGTGACTTCGAACTTCGATGCCGAGATCACAGGCTGCATCGCCAGCGAGGCAGCTTTGGCCCTATTGCTGGCTTAGCTTGGCTTTCACTTGGCACTATAGCAACTTCAACTTGGCAACCTTGGCATGATTTGTAGGTGTGGGCCGTGGGCAGCAGATAGTGCCATCACAGTCATGCTCCCTGATTAGTAGCACTCCTTAAGCTTGCTTCCGGACTCGGAACGACCGAAAGACCGTCAGAGTGGGAAGACTGTTTACAACTTTACATCCCTTGTATGTCATGCGCACATGGCAATTTGGCAAGATGCTGGGCTTGCCGCACTCTACGAGATGGACGGACGGACGGCCGGCAACATCATGTTGAGGTCCCGGCACTGAGCCGGCAGTGGCCCGGCAAGGTCCTTTTATCACTTAGCTCAACAGTATTGGCAACTTATGGGCCAGACTGAACCTCGTTGAGTCGGTGACCAGTGTAGTCTGTCTAGAATATGGACTTTATGTGCTCATTCCCACTACTTAGGGTCATCGACCCTGCGAGCTAGCTACAGGCCACAGCACCGACAGTAACCATCGTGAATCAAGCTGACTCAAGCAACGATACGCGAAATGACCAAAGCTAGTGGCCAGACTTCCAACAAAGCTTCTCTAGAATCTCTACCCAGGCAACTAGCAAGATAGCGACACATTTGCTCAATGCTCATCGCTTGATTCGCTTCCGGACACGAAACCACGAGATTGTGATTTCATCTGAAACCTTCGTTGCCAAAGGAGGAGCCCCGCCCCCGCGCTTGCTGCTCAAATTTTGCTAAGCGCGGCACGGAGCACACAGACGCGTCGCGTAAGGGAATTCGAGGAAGCGGTCGCTACGCGGGCCTACGCCTACGAATCTACGAGTGCAATGCGGGTAGGGTCTGGGTCTCTCTGGCTTCAAAAGATGAATGCCCGAGACTTGGACAGAGCGTGTTCTTGAGATTACGAGAAGGGCTGCTGCTGTAGACTATAGTACTGCTAAGCCGAGTGGGCACGGATGCCTGAAGCTTGAACCACTTGCACGAGGATAGAGGTGCGTGAGTTCACTGAGTTGACATGCTACTGCTGGCTGGGATGTTAAGAGTCAAGTTGGTCAACTAGGCTGGAGATCAACAAGAGATCAGCCATACAGCGTGAAGCCGATAGCTGATTTCAGGATGTCGATCGATCTGAACAAGAAATTGCTCCGAAGTGAAGATCCCTCCTGGCATCAAGGACCAAGGACCAAGGACCAAGGACCAAGGTTGTCTCACAGGACCAGCAGTCCAGCCTGAGCAGACAAGGAGCACTTCAGATGACACCAGGCACAGAATGCATGAGTGCAGCATGACTCCGTATACACCGGGTCGAAGGACTTGCTGCAGCGCAGGCGTCTGTATGCCATGAGTGCCATGTTTGATGTTGCCCTCCAAGCTAGTCTCTTGCTCAACAATCCATGGCACTATGCTCCTGCTTCATGTCTCGAGCTGCCTCCAGCTACTGACCAACTCCATATACCGTGTCCGTGGCATCAGCACTGAGCCTCATTCTCAGCTGTTTCGACGCTGGATCAGACGCGACCAAAGCACCCCCGAGAAGATCCTCAAACAAGCACACCTTCAGCTGCTTCTGTGCATCTGTTCGTCTCCATGATCGTCTCTCCGCTTGTTCAGCTATGTCGCGCAGCACCTCTCCCAGTCTGCTTGCTCCTCTCAGACGACAGCGCATCCAGCGTGGTTGGCATTGTACCATCTTGCTACGCACGGAGTGCCCTCTTTGCCAATACCCTTGTCCTTGATGGTCGTAAGCATGTCTCCCTGCTCAACATGATACACTGACATGTCATCTCCAGCGACTGGCATCTTGCACCTTCTCGCACTCGGCATCACCACCATCATGCTCTCCAACATTCGTCAGAAGTACGCAGCAGTCGGCAGGCGTGAGTTTATGACTGTACTACTCCTGTACATGATGACCACCTTCTTAACACTCTGCCTCGATGTCGGCGTCTTGACACCATCACACGCTGCATTCCCATGGGTCGTTGCTGTACAACTTGCTTCAGGCACCATGACAATGGTGTGTCTGGTTGCGAGTGGCATCGTCAGCTTTTGCTGGCTCGAAGATGGCACAGGATGGCTCATGAGTGTGATTCTTGGCGCTGCTGGGCTGTGTGGTGGAGCTGTCTTTGCAGTGACTGTGTGTACGGCGCACAGCTGGCTCAATCTGTCTCCCGCAAAGTCATTACCTCTGTTCTTCCTCACTGGTCCATTGAATGCGTTGCTCCTCGTATGCTATGCTGTCATGCAAGTCATCTTGCTCTACACCAAAGTCAAGAACTACTGGCCACTCGGCAACTTGCTATTTGGCCTCATCTTTCTGGTCGCAGGACAAGTCCTTCTCTTGACAGCATCAATACCTTTGTGTGAGGCAACAGAGCATTACCTCGATGGCACGTTTATTGCGACAGCTTGTCATCTGCTGGCTGTCATGATGGTGTACAAGTACTTTGACTCCATCACCCTGGAGAATTTGGAGTTTAGCATCGAGCACAAGCGGCAGGTGTATCAGCCTGTGTCCATGACTGGGCCGCACTAGCACGCAGGCAGAATCACGAGCATGGATTGAGTTGTAGAGCACTTGTTTGTATCAGGTTCACACAAGCTTAAGCTACCGCGTTATAGAGTACCTGTCCTTGCACAGCAGCAGCCAACACTCTAGCCATCAGTACAACGCTGGCCAGTATTTGAACATGTAGGTTGAGGTTGAGGTTGAATCCCGCGCTGACTTGTTGCATGACGCGTGACCTCTTCGCCCTAGACCACCAGCTACACACCAACTTGCCACCAAGGCATTCATCGCGGATGACACCAGAAACAGGCGAACAGCAGCAGCAAGCACCCACATCCAACCGCTTCTCACGTCGTCTCTCCTCCGTCCCGCGCGACTTGCGCAATTCCTTCGAAAACGTCTCTTCGCGTCTCAGTTTCTCAAATGCATCAAGACACGCATCTTCTGGACATCGCAAGACGTTATCAGTCTTGGAAACAGACTCGGCGAGCCATGTCAAGTCACACGAGGGGTTGAATGGTGCAGGACCTCGAAGACCTTCTTCATCCATGGGCATGCCAGCAGCAGCGTCTTCACACAGCGACCCATTCACGGCAGGCCCACCACAACGCAGTACAAGCGCCATGTCCAATAGTGACGCTGCCTCCATACACTCCTCAACAGGCAGTATCGGGCCCACTTCTGGTCGATGGTTCGAACGGCTTCGTCGCAACTCAAATCGCACAGTCTCCAGGGAAATCGATACGGCCCTTGAAAAGGCCAATGAAGCAGCAGCGCATCGCTCACATAACCCATTTCTAAGGAAACGATCTATTGCGTCTGTTGTCTCTGTGACGGCATATCATGAGCCTGGTCGTAAGATTTTGGGAGCGACGCCAGCACAAGCTGCAGAGATGGGTGGTGTGGCATCCAGCGCGTCATCTTTGCTGCCAGCATCGTTCATCAGCGAGTCGCGGGATGTAGAGGTACCGTATGTGGTGGATGCCTGTGTTGCATACCTGCTTCAGCACGATGCAATTTCAATGCCTGGACTATTTCGCGTGAGTGGATCGAATGCCGCGTGTCGGGCACTGGCGGAGTACTTTTCACATTTCTCAAATGAGGCAGCAAGGATACCCCTGAATGAGATCGTATTGCCAGGCGACCAGGTGCTCTCCGTGCATGACGTTGCATCGACCCTCAAAAAATACCTCACATTGCTACCAGGTGGTCTATTCGGTGAGAGTGTCTTTATGGAGCTTCAAGAACTCAGTGAAGAAGAACCAGGTCAGCGCAGTGCCCGGCATATCGCTGAAGCACTCACAGAGATGACAGACCCCTTGAAACTGGCAATTTGTCAAATACAGCTCGGTTTGCTTGCAACGATTGCAGAACGGACAGTCACGTTACGTGCAGAATCGGCACAGGCTGAGCATGAAGTGGGGTATATGACTGGCAAGACACTTGGTATTGTCTTTGCGCCTGCGTGTCTTGGCGCAACGGCGCCGGGTCATTCTATGCAAAGCACACCTAGTACAACAGGACGCATGAGTAATGATATGCGGCGTTCTTCAACCTCACAAAGCGACTATTCCTTCAAATCAGATGCATCGACACAGATCGAAGAAGCTGTCTTGCAAGCGAAACAAGCTGGTAAAGTGGTGGAAATGCTCATTGCACACTGGCAGGAAGTAGTTCCACTCCTAGATCAGCTGACTGGATCCGATGCACTTGGTCAGCAACGACCACGCTCATCACGGAGTTCTATGGATTACGTACGGCGAGGCCACGTTGATTCTGATATCGCGAGACCGTTGGATACGATTATGGATAGTAGTCCACTCAAATTGCCGCCGCCAAAAGATGCACGCCGCAATGAACATGCACGCAATATGAGTGTCGATACCGTCACCCAGGGTTGTACGTGTGACAAGGCAAAGCATCGTGAGAGTGCCATGGTCAAGGGACTTGAAGTCAAGCTGGCCGCGAGCGAACAGCAGCGGTCGCAAGCACTTGAGCAAATTGCGACGCTTGAGCTGCAGGTGCAAGCATTGCAGCGAGAACTGGCATTGGGTAAGCTACAAGTCCATGAGGGTCCTTCTGTTTCAACAGATGCCAGGGAAGGGTAATGACTATTTGATGTTCTATTGTACTTCATATTGCAGTTCCAGAAGCTATCTTGAATCGTCTCTTTGACACCCACGCGATGCCGCGTGTAGTCATGTGCAATTTCAGCTTCACAGACGCTGTATTCGGTCCACGTCCTCTTGTCAACCACAGGCCTACTGAGCGGCTCTTGTGCACACATCGATACTCTGCTCATCTTCTGTACAGTCACTAGCTGCAATCTTGGCCTCTTATCAGGAGAGCTTCATAGAATGTACAGTAGTCTCGTTGAGGCTCTTCACGTCACGGACGACCAAAGTACGGGGAAGATGTGCTTTTTTGAGCTCAGTTGAATGCAAAGACTTAAACGAAATGATCTTAAACACTCATTTTACAACTACATACTCTTATGATTAGGTCCTTTGAGCTGCTGACTGATTGAGATCCGCTGACTTCGTCCAATGCTGGACAGCTTCCTGCCTGTCGCCTACATGTTTGCTACTCAAGCCGATCAGTAGCGTGTTCTGTTAGGAATTCAAGTGCATCCCCTGATCACTTGCTTCCGCTGTTATCTCTCTGCCACGTCAGCGCTCATGCACGTGACCTTTAGTTTAGTCTTAGCTGGCAAGAGTGCTATACTCTTGTCCCCTATTCGAATCAAGTCTTATCTGCAGCTGCCCTGCGTGCCTGTGTCTATCACCTACGACTACAGCCTCGCATATCCGCCAATCTCGATTAGGTTATGAGCCTTGTTGCTATGCAGCAAGACGCTACTGCTTCGGGTCAACGTTCCGGCCCGTCTAGCAACGCGGTGTTAAGGAACACCAAGAGGATCAGCAATGGCCTAAGTGCTTGGAAGGATGAGCTGCTGCTTGTCGCTCAGCAGGCTGGCGTTGAGACTTACATCTTTCAGGAGATACACGCACGCCGCGTCAAAGCAGCAATACGCTGCGCAGACGCCATGCAGAAGGCCGACGAAGACGCTGAGGCCCGTATCGCCGCTCTCGAAGCCCTCATGAAAGATGACAAGCTTAAGGCCCCAAAAGCCTATAGCGCCCCCTCGACTCGCTCCAAGTCCAAATCGATGGAGGAGGAATCAAGCGAGGATGAAAGCACAAAGCCTTACACTGGTCCGTGCTACATCAACTCTGAGGGGTATCTTGCACCTGCGACCTTTGAAGAATGGTCGCATCTTGAACCAACTTGGGACAAGAACAGCAAGGCGCTTTTCTTGCTGAAAGGAGGTCTCGACAGGTCTGACCTGGAAGCAGTCAAAGACATCGCAGTCGCCTGCGTTGCTTTCAAGACTGTCTTGTCTCGACACAAGCAGCCTGACACTTTGCGAAAGTTGCAATTGGTCACGAAGCTCAATAAGCTCTCTTTGCCTCCTGGCAATACCACATCTTCAGCTATTGAGACCCTGATGGTGGACGTTCAAGCCACCATTGCCCAGTTGCGCAGCCTTGATCCCACCGGCAAGACGTTTGACGAAGAATGGAAATTGCCATGATCTACGCCAAACTCCCAGGCGATTTGCAGGACCTCACGCTGCACACACTCTCCTCGGATGGACCACACTCTATCCGCAGTTTTGTGCAGCAAGTGCGCTTCAAGATACAGTCGGATGACTATCTCAAGACGCACGGCAAGCACAAGTCTCTGGCAGACTCAGCCGCTGACGCTTCCCAAACCCTTTACCAATCATCAACGGAAAAAGGGATGCTCGCTCAAGAGCATAAGTCTCAATTGAAGCAGAAGTCTTCAAAGAAGCCGAGGAAAAGGCATTCTCTTCACAAGCCTTCATCTGAGACGAAGCAAAGTAGCCCTCCAACTGAATCAAAATCACAGTCTGAGGGCAAGCCAAATCCCAACACGGCATACTTTGCTCGCGAAACAACCCTAGCTGAACGTAGCTGGGTGATCGACTCCGGTGCCACGTCGCATATGACACCGTCGCAAGAGTTGATCTCTGATCTCTCTCATGATGCTTCCATTAGCATCACATCCGCCAATGGCGAAGAGATGATCTCCGCTGGTTTTGGGCATGCTGCATTTGCCGTGCCAGATCAAACCAGCTTGGTGCCCTTGTCCAAAGTTTGGCATGTGCCAAATCTCACTGAACATCTTTTATCAGTGAGCGCACTCAATGAGGACGGTTTTGACGTACTGTTCTCGGCCAAACATGGACCAGCCCTCCTCAAAGACAGTGTTGTCGTCGCTACTGGCAGGCGTGTCGGTAAAGGCTTTGTCCTAGACGGCACAATTGCTAAAGTCCAGCCTCAGGCAAGTGAGTTTGCCCTTTTCACAAAGGAAAAGGCACCGACGGATGCCCTTGAGTGGCACCGACGACTTTGCCATATGTCCATCAAGGACATGAAACGACTTTCGAAGTTTGTCGACGGATTTCCCGACGATCTGGTCTACCCGGAATACTTCGATTGCTCTGGCTGTGCAGCTGGAAAGAGCAAGCGCTCGAGCTTTCCCTCTGTGGCAAATTCTGCCACTCAGCGGCTTGACATAGTCCACATTGATGTTGCTGGACCAATGCGCACCAATTCTATCAATGATGCACGATATTTTCTCATCATTGTTGACGGGTTTTCCAAGTACGTTTGGGCGTACATGCTGAAAGATGTCACTGCAGACACCGTCTGTAACATCTACAAAGCTTGGGAAACTGTTGCCACCAATCACGTTGGCGACAAAGTCAAAATTGTTCGCTCTGATGGAGGTAACGAGTTCAAGGGGAGCTTTCGCCAGCACCTCATTACGCAAGGCACCACTCACCAAACAACTGTTCCGCATACGCCTGAGCAGAATGGTGTTGCAGAGCGCCACATTCGCACTGTTGTCGAAAAGGCTCGCTCATCGCTTCTTGATGAGACGGTTGGTCCTCTCCCGCGCAATTTATGGGCTGAGTTGACCTCCACAGCCGTCTACGCCATCAATCGTTCGCCTCATACTGGTCTCGACAAGACGCCATACGAACTGTGGTATGGCAAACGACCAGATTGCTCGCATATGAGGACTCCTGGTACCATTTGCTGGTCACACAACCCGCGAATCAAGGACAAGTGGGATGCGCGCGCCAACAAAGCTATGTTTTTGGGCTACAGTGATACTTCCAAAGCTTGGCGAGTCTTAGATCTTGCCACTGGGAAAGTTGTTCTCAACCACTTGGTCATTTTTGATCATGCTGTGGCAAAAGAACTGTCTGTCAACAAGGATGTCGATCCTCGTCAGCTCACAGACGCTCAGCTCGAAGCTATAGCTAGCGGCAATGCTGCAAGTGTCGAATTTACTGACGAGCAGCTCGAAGCTATCGCTACTAGCGGTCTTGACGTTACTACTAATGATGACGAGCTTGATGAATATGCTTTTATGCTTACTGCTCAAGATGTTCTCCCAGCTCCTGTAACTGTCAAACAAGCTTTATCCCGCTCTGACGCACCTGAATGGCGTGCCTCTATGGAACGCGAGCTCGCCTCTCTTGAAGGCAAAGGAGTTTTTGAGTACGTCGCTAAGCTACCTCCAGGCCGAAAGGCCATTGGGGCACGCTGGATCTTCAAGAACAAGATCCTCGCTGATGGCACTTCCGACAAGCGCAAGTCGCGTCTTGTCGCTAAGGGCTACTCTCAGAAAGCTGGCGTAGACTACAACGAGACGTATGCTCCAGTCACTCGACTGGAGTCTGTGCGCATGCTTATCGCACTCGCTTCAATTTACAAGCTTCATCTTCACCAGATGGACATTGCCACCGCTTACCTCAATGCAAACCTGTTTGAGGAGATTTTCATGATCGCTCCTCCAGGTTTCTCCAACGAGAACTTCCCGTTCGTTAGGCTCAAGAAGGCTCTCTACGGTCTAAAACAAGCTGGCAAAGCCTGGAACGATGATTTGCACGTCACCCTCACAGCTGCTGGCTATGAACGCTCGATGCACGACTTTGGCATCTATCAGCATCAGACAAACGCGTCCTTGCTCTGCGTCTACGTCGACGACATTCTGATGGCTTTCTCGGACATCGCGCACAAAGAGCATCTTCTCAAGGCTCTTACCAAACGCTACGAGCTGTCCGATCTCGGCCCTGCCAATTCCATTCTCGGCATGCGCGTCTCACACAACAACGGCGTATACACTCTCGATCAATCCACCTATATTGAATCGATCGCCACCGACCACGGCTTAGCCAACTGCCATCCAAGGCACCTGCCAGCCAGTGTCGGCACCATTCTCACCACTGACGGCACTACCCACCAGCCGACTGACGACCAGCCGGCCAACAAAACTGCTTACCAATCCATTGTTGGGGAGCTTCAGTGGATAGCCATCTCGACCAGACCCGATGTTGCCTATATTGTCGGTGTTCTAGGTCGTTTCTCTGCCAAGCCGACTACTTCTCACATGAAGTTGGCTCGTGGCGTCCTCGCGTACCTGTTCACGACTCGCAATTTGCGACTGCGATACGACGGAAACGACGAGTTTGCTGGGTACTCTGACTCTGACTACTCAGGGTGCCTGGATACAAGGAAGAGCACATCTGGCTATGTGTTCATGCTTGGGGGAGCTGCAATCACCTGGCAGTCAAAGCGCCAAAACATTGTTGCCACATCGACCATGGAAGCCGAATATATTGGCCTCTCCAACGCGTCAAAAGAGGCTCTCTGGCTGCGCGAGCTCATGCTCGGCATCAAGATCAGCAATGTGCTCAACTCCGACGGTTCCATCAATTTATTTGGGGACAATCAGGCTGCGCTGAAGTTGGCACACAATCCTGTGTTTCACGCCAAGAGTAAGCACATCGAAGTGAAGTACCATCACACTCGATCCCTGATTGAGCAAGGCAAGATCAAGCTACACTACGTCGGCACAAAACTGCAAAAAGCCGATCTCCTTACCAAGCTCCTTCCACGTCCTGCATTGGAGACGCAACGACTGCTTCTCGGCCTCGTCTAAGCACTTCGCTTTATCGAGATAGAGGGAGTGTTAGGAATTCAAGTGCATCCCCTGATCACTTGCTTCCGCTGTTATCTCTCTGCCACGTCAGCGCTCATGCACGTGACCTTTAGTTTAGTCTTAGCTGGCAAGAGTGCTATACTCTTGTCCCCTATTCGAATCAAGTCTTATCTGCAGCTGCCCTGCGTGCCTGTGTCTATCACCTACGACTACAGCCTCGCATATCCGCCAATCTCGATTATGTTCAGTTCCTTGACTCGCGCCGTCAATCACGCCATAGTTCTGTTTGTCATGTGCGGCCGCGACTACTTGCAGCTGCAGCTGTGCAGTCCTTCTGGACGACGCAACCATGCAAGGTGGCAGACAGAACTGGGAGATCGACAAAAAATAATGTTACAAATGACCACGCAACGTGGCCACAGTGCATACGATGACCCATTTCATTTCGCGGAGGTAGAAATGAGAGCTATAGACGAGCTAGATGATGTGTGATTGATCATTAGCGGACAAAGGAATGCTCTATGACAGTTGTAAGTCAATCGACAGTTACAGCTGCAACGGGCTACGAATTCAAATCTTCAAAATTGCTCATTCTTCATGATAACAATCCGATGTCGTATGCATGTTTCATACTGCTACCCTTTGCTACGCTAAGGAGTCGACAGAAACGTGCACAAAAATAGTTGCAAAATTACATGTGCACAGAAATCGAAAGCACCATGCATTCATCAAAGGGGATCAATCACGAGCTTTCACGTGCGGCCTGCCGTGAAAAATTTAAGTCCTGCAGGCCTCTTGAAAGAGTATATTGCAGTTGTCACCGCTGTCTTTTCAAATCAACCAATCGGTTACCAGTTCAAGCTATGATACACCATCTCAAGACAATGGTCTGTCCCATACTCTTTGTCATGGGTTTTTGGACATTGGCTATAGCTATGGATGGGCTCACAAAAGGAACACAAATCAATACTTGTGTTCAACCAACGCTTACGCTTCGCAAGATGATCCATCATCAAGGCGTCTACAAAGCTGGGCAACTTCAAGGTCAATTTGCACAGGACACTTGTGCCGAGAAATGCGAGACCGAAATGGCCCGCTATCACGATTCTCGTGTTTCAGCTCATTCCAGCGCAGACATTTGTCATGCTGGTGAAAACATCTGCTATTGTGTGAATGGGGCTTACCATTCACAGATGGCTGAAGAAACACCAAAGGCTGAAGAACCTGGCATTGATAATATCGCAGGTCCTTCTTTCTTGGGATTCATGCCATATGGCATTCCATATTGGGCCTATCATGTCACTGATCCCGGTAGAATGACTAACGCAAATCCCATCACAGTTGGAATGCTCGATCGAGCAAAATTGCGCATCTCAAACAAAGCCAAGTCCAAGCAACAGCTACAATCAATACAGTGCCAATGTTTCATGCAAGTTCAATACCTCAAAATGCGCATTCAGGGCTTCAACTTAGGGTCGCAGCTGGACGAAGCTGAAGGTACCTGTGGACCTAGCGCAATAGCAAAAAGACACGAAATCGATAGCTGGCAATCGCTTCAACCTCTCGATTCAATGTCTGGACTGCCAATATTCCCGTGTAACAACCCCATCAACGATCAGCGTTTTTGTTCCGGTGTGTTGCTCCCACAGTGCAAATTGTATCCATCGTCAATCAATTTGGAAATTCCAACGGCCTACAGCTAAGTCTTTCCTTTCATTCGGAAGATCTCCATACTCAAAGTTGCTGGATCTTATTGCAACCTCTTTTCTGAACAGAATCAACTTTTCGCTGTCGAGCTTTTTTAGCTACCACCCAATTTAATCATATGCTCATTTTCACTTCGCATTTTCCTGTCTTGATTTGTGCACTTTGTGTCTAAGCCTATATGCCAAGAGTAGTCTTGATCAGCTGCAGGGTATCTACATTTGTATATGCATATACAATACGATGTTTTAGCATCTATATGGATCCGAGAGGAGATTCCACTAATGAACCACTCTCGATGGATGGCCGGGTGTCTATCACGCGTGGTTGGTTGTTCAAAAGTCAACAATTGTGCCACGAGTTATAAGCAGGGAATGACGATTACCCACTGGCGGACGGCAACAAGTCTTAAGTCGACAAGTATCATTGTCGTCAAGTCAGGTCAAGTTCAATTCGGCCCAGAAGGAGGCATTGCGCTTCGCTATAGCCGTTTACTTGTTGTTGTTGAGTTTGAGCATGCTCACCTGACCTCACAAACTTTATGCTGCTGAAGAAATGTTCCTGCTCTTATCGAGATCCTGCGGCATCTTGCATTTGAATTTGGCTGTGTAGCATGAGCGGCCTGTAGGTATTCTTGTCAACAGATGCCGCAAGCGTGATGGTGATCACAGCAGATTACAGCCTTCTGCAAGCAGACTGAAGGACACTGTCTCCAATGTCCAGCTGTAGATGACTGCTTATGGCGCCGTGGGCACAAGATGTCCTTGAAATGCAGCAGCAGCGGTGGCCGAGTGCTGTGAGTCTCAGCTGGGATGAGGGAGAGCTGCTACTGTAGCCATTCGAGTATGACTTTGCTCAATTGATGTAGCTTGAGCGGCCTGTAGGTATCGTTGTCAGTAAGTGTCGCAAGCGTGGTGGTTATATCAGCGTATCTTAAGCAGATTGAATGACACTGTCTCCAAGATCCATTTGTGGATGACTGATTATGGCGTCGTGGGCACAAGAGGTTCCTGCAATGCAGCAGCATCGGTAGACGAGTGCTGTGATGCTCAACTGCGATGAGGGGGAGCTGCTGCTTCTGAAGCTCGAGTGGATCTGAGGTTGATTGATACCTGATGTCAGAAGGTCATACACAGAGCACTCTTGTCACCTGGAGCAGATCTATGCCCTCCTATGCCTGTCGGTGTTTGCACGGCGCTTCGATTGTGCAGTCATCCTGGTTGTGACGAAGACATAACTGATTCGCTGGTCATCGATAAGTCTCTGTCCTTGCTATCAACATCTGCCTAGAAGCGCGCTCTAGTATCCTCGCGATCGTGTGCAGAAACCCAGTCATTGGCCAGTGCTGTGCGCCACGTATCTGCTGATGTCTCTGTTTCGGCAATCCTTCAGAGTCTTGCCGCGTCCAAGGTGCTTCGCAGAGGACTGCATACGGTGCGCTTGCAGTCACCAGGTGGTACTTCTGCTTGAGGCGCGGTTTGCGCGTCGTGGCGTGGCTTAGTAATCCTGCGGCCTCACAAAAGGAACATCACCAACAGACAAATGATCATCCGATGAGTGTCTGTAGGACCTTGAATTTCACACGACGTGAGCTCGCCATGTTCAATTGCAATTGCAAGCATCCATAGGTTCTGCGGATTTGAAGTTTGATCAGCGACACATGGCAGTCATGATCAGCCAATTTCCACGCAAGGTCGTGTGCATGCACATGGTGCATGAAAGAAATTGAACACTTCAGCAAACAAGTCGCACCATGCGGCTATGGATGGACCTGAATCCACGGCCAACATCCTGAGATGGACCATGCCAGATCATGCCAAGTCAACGAAACAAATAGTTGCAGGTGGCTTTATACATCTCGCCTACGCTGTTGCATGTGACGAAGGGCGAACAGGACAGGACGAATGCTTGTGCTGAAGACAGGACTTGGGCGAGATGTAGGGGACAAGAATAGAAATTGTAAACTAAGGAACAAGACAGCGGAAGGCTGCCTACTTATGTCTACCAGGTACCAGCATGAGAGCGGATGGCGATGATGTGGATGGAGCCCACGGGAGCCGACTCTCAGCAGGAGAACAATGAAAGAAGAGGGGAAGCGAGATTGCATGAGCCCAGTGGAGATGTCCGAGCTGCAAGATAGGGAAGAGACAGAACAAGGGACGACGTGGTAGACGTCGTCCACGAGTAAGAGAGCGAGTAAGGACAACGTGACAGAGCGTTGCCGGAAGCGAGGAAGCTAGGCGCGGGACGATAGGCAACATGCTGAGGTGATAAGCGTCGTTGAAGGGCGGAAGGTAGAAGAGCCGCGATGAGTTGCCAGAGCATGTGGTGCGGGAAAGTCGGATGCGAGGTTTAAGGCTGCGTGTTCGTTACAGAACCTCCTCCTCCAGGCGCTGCGTCTCGAAGCGTACTTGGTCGAGTGGGTAGCTTGACGTAGGATGGGACAGCAGCATCGGGGTTGCGGAGATGGAAGTCGTGAACAAGAATCGGAGCATTCTGGTAGGCCTCTCGAGCAGGGATCCACTCGTCCTCATCGTGTGGGAAGCCTTCGTAGTGGATTTTGTATTGGAAGCCGCTACCGCGTGGTTGGATAGCCATGATCTCATCGTAGGTCCATTCCAGGCTGTTGCCGACGACGATAGGCTCGGGAGCTTCTTGAGGTCGCTCCAGGTAGGCCTTGCCGAGGGGCTCTGGTGATTGATGAGGAGACAAGAGGCTAGGGTGGAACACATTGTGTATTCGCATCGAGGCAGGAAGACGGAGTTGGAAGGCTCGGTCGTGAATTGTGTCGGTAATGGGAAAAGGACCGAGGTTCTTGTGTGAGAATTTGCCTTGTTTCTGCAATGCTTGGACGTTCTTGGCGTTGAGCCAGACTTTCTGGCCGAGCTCGAAGGGAGGAGCTTCAAGACGATGACGATCAGCGAAGGCCTTTTGAGCAGCTTGAGCGTCTTTGAGATGATCCTTGAGTTCTTGTTGAACAAGCTTGAGACGTTGAGACATGTCGTAGCTAGTAGCATTGCGAGAATCGGTAGTGGCATCGAAGCGTAGACCAGACCGAGGATGGTAAGAATAATTGGCAAAGAAGGGTGTTGTCTTGATGGACGCATGAACCGAGTTGTTGTAGGCAAATTCGGCTCTTGGCAAGAGCTTGACCCAATTGTCTTGATCGGCGTTGGTGAAGCACCGAAGGTATTGTTCGAGAGTGGAATTTGTTCGCTCTGTCTGACCATCTGTTTGAGGGTGATAGGCAGTAGACAGATGTGCTTTGACAGCAGGGTCGAAGTGACCAAGGAACGCTTTCCAGAACGAGGAGACGAAGACAGAGCCACGATCGGAGACAATATCGAGTGGCATGCCATGGTGAGTGAAGATTCTGTCCATGAACAATGCTGCGAAGCCTGCTGCGTCTGTGGCCTCATGGTAAGGAATGAAGTGAGCCATTTTGGTGAGGCGATCGACGACAACAAGAATAGAATCGAAAGAGTCCGAAGGTGGAAGCTTGACGATGAAGTCTAGCGAGATAGAGGACCATGGAGTCTCTGGAACAGGCAGAGGCTGGAGCAGGCCATAAGGCTTGTGGCGCGAGACCTTGGCGCGAGCACACGTATCGCAAGTTGCGACGTAATCGTGGATGTAAGCCCGCATTGACGGCCAATAGTACTGCCGAGAGACAAGGTCGAGAGTCTTGGCGACACCCCAATGACCGGAGATAGGCGAGTCATGATGTTGCTGGAGAATAGCCAGCTTCAGAGGAGCATCAGATGGGACGTACACACGATCTTTGTAGAAGAGAAGACCGTTGTCGAGAGAAAAAGGCTGGTCAGCAGTGAGATGGGATGCATCAGAAGGTGCTGGCGAGGAGGAACGACTTGGCGTCGGAGAAGATGGACGGCTTGACGTCAAAGAAGGCTGCTGAAGTGCTTCGAGAGCGTCTTGCACCAGTGGATCAGCGGAATACGCGGCAATGATGCGAGCGCGGAAGTCGTTGTCTGGGAAATTGGGAGCAGACGACACAGAGGTGACTTGCCTTGAAGTTGGCGAAGTCCGAAGAGTAACAGGAGCAAGTGACAATTGACCTGGCTTGAAGAAAGTCATCGTGCGAGTTGATTTGCGATCCCCCTCGGAAGGCCGGAGGTCCTCGCGACGGCTTAGTGCATCAGGTTTGCCTTGTTGAGCACCAGGTCGATAGACGATGTTGTAGTTGAACCTGGACATGAAGAGGGACCAGCGTACTTGACGTGAACTGAGAAGTCGGTTCGTGTTGAAGTACTCCAAATTCTTGTGGTCGGTGAAGACAGTGATGGCATGTGCAGAGCCCTCCAGATAGTGGCGCCATGCTTTGAAGCAATCAAGAATTGCCAACAACTCCTTGTCGTAGATTGGGTAGTTGCTTTCTGGAGGCGAGAAGGTGCGGCTGTGGAAAGCCACGGGTCGAAGGATCCCGTTTGTATCGGCTTGGGACATGACACAGCCAAGTGCAAAGTCGCTGGCGTCAGTCTCAATGACCACTGGCTTGTCTGCGTCGAAATGAACGAGGATAGGGGCAGAAGAAAACAATGATTTGAGCTGAGTGAATGCCGCGGTAGCTTGATCGTTCCAAAGGAACACTTTGGTCGCCTTGCTTGTGAGAGCGTAGAGCGGCTTGACAATCTTGCTGTAGTTGGAGATGAAGCGACGGTAGTAGTTGGCGAAACCACAAAACACTTGGACGTCGTGGACTGACTTTGGTTGAGGCCAATTGATGATGGCGTTGACCTTGACGGGGTCCATTGCAATGCCGGTGGGAGACACGACATAACCAAGAAATTCGACCGTGTCGACGTCGAAGACGCATTTTTCCGCTTTGACGAAGAGATTGTGCTCGTCGAGAACCTTGAGAACTGATAGAACATGTTCAGTGTGCTCGTCCTGCGTTTGGGAGTAGATGAGGATGTCATCAAGATAGCAGACGGCGAATTTGTCGAGGAAAGGTTGAAGCACAGTGTTCATCAACGTCTGGAAAGAAGCGGGAGCGTTGGTAAGTCCAAAAGGCATAACGTTGTACTCGTAGTGCCCGTAACGAGTCTTGAATGCGGTCTTCCATTCATCTCCCGGCGCAATACGCAGTAAGTTGTATGCGCCGCGG